GAGAGAGAGAGAGAAAGACAAGACGGGACGAGACGAGACGGGGCGAGACAAGAGACCTGGCACGTGTTGCCCCGAGAGCAGAGCAAAAGCATTTTTTCAATTGTTCAACACTCAGCGATGATCATGATCTCCATGTTAATGGAGGAGGGGTGTAAGAGATGATGATGAGGAACATTTCTCCATTGCACTAGCTTCGTCTTGGCTACGATTTCGATTTACTTTTGCTTTTCATTGTTCCTAATGCGATGATGGTCTGTGGATGCGACTGCCGGTGGTGTTGCTGATGTTGCTGCCATTTGTTGCAGCATTAACAACAATTTCATGGTTTTGAACAGGAAAAAAAGTTTCCCCTGGTATATGGCACACAAGATGCTAAAAGTTAGAGCAGTCTCCTCAAGATATTTGATCCTTTTTCTTGTGGGGTGGCAGCTTCGGTTGTGGCTTTCGCTTGGCGAGTTGTCCCCTCCAATAACTTTTGCTCTCAAGTACAGTTTCTAGTGCACTTAAAGAGTTCCCAGCCTCAACGACTTCCTTGTTCTTGATTGATTCGTCTTCTGGTTTAGGGTTCCATTGCCCCCAACGGCAGACACCAAAACGCGTATAAATCAAATGAAGCAACCGTCAACAATCAGCGTCAATTATGGCCATGTTCCCATACATCTCACCCATCCATATAGATTTATGTACATTTTCGATTCGGGACAATCAACTTCTTTTTGTTTTTGGTGTAGAGCTCCATCCGGTGCTTGAAATAAATCTTCGAATTAAGTTTCTGTCTTCCAGAAAATTCACCAAAATCGAAGCAATTTCTTGTATAATGTTGTTGTTTATTTCGTTTTCTTTTTGCTTGAATTAAGAACGAGAGAGAGAGAGAGAGAGAGAAACAAAAGAAGGGGAGAAAAGCAACAAAAATTGAATGTGAAATCAAAAACGATCAAAATGAGGCTTTTGAGTGACCACTTGGCACAATCTGCGAGGTCTACACCCCGATGGATGGGGGTTATATGGCTCTGTCTTTTATCAGAAGTGTGTGCGAGGGTTTTTCAAAGAGTTTGAAAAGGGAAAGATGCCGCGGAAATGGATTAGGTGACACTTTAAGCATTCTGTGGGATTTCTAACTATTGAACTTAAAGTATACCCCTTTATATGGTTTCTTTCCTTCGTTCTTCTTCCTTTAGTGGAACTTTAAAATCCACCCCGCATCCCACAGTTGGGGAGTCTGAGAAATCTGACAGCAAACCAAACTGTTAATACAAAATGAACTCAAATGCGAAAATTACACCGCAAGCGACCAATTTAAAACCATTAAATTATAATTTTAAACTTTAAAGAGCTTCAACGACTTAAGGGGCAGAGGCACAGCCAAAGTCACACACTGCTCAAGGAAATGAAGGCAGGTCCGGGCCCCAGTCGATGCTGTGGGCAATGAGCATTATTCAATTAGGGAAGAGGCATTTGTAATCGTTTGTTTTCGGCTCTGCCAAATGGAGTGCGTTGGATTACCCCTCCTACTCACCCATAATCGGATGATCTCCTTAGAATCCATAAAGCGTTGCCTCATGCGGATGGATTGCAACATGAGTTCTGTCCTCTCCAACGTTACACAAATAAAACGGTTAATTTCGTCGCCGAGAACTGCATTTGGTGAGAACGAACCGGAGTGTGTAGGTGTATAAACGTTTCGCTCTTTATCTCTCTTAATCTGTGCGTTCGCACCAGCATCAGCACTCTCACCTCCCACACCCACACCCCTTCGGACCTGACACTCATAATTAAAGAAACAAATAAAGCACAGCGTCGGTAGCGTCAGAGGCGAGGGCGGGGGCGAACGCTGGATGCCATGACCAAGACGCAGCAGCGGTCACATTTACATACTGTAAGCAGAAGACGAAGTGGAAGAGGAAGGAAGAAGAAGTAAAAGAAGCGACAAAGGCCACCACCATAGCAACAGCCACAAGAGGGAGAGCAGCAGCAGCAGCAGCAGTAGAAACAACAGAAACAACAACAGTAAGAGCAAGGTGTCTGCATAAAGGGTGAGTCAAGCGAAGAGAACTGCTCTCAGTAGAGCTTTAGTGGGAATCTCAACGTTCGAGAATGCCATACCTTGTACCGTAACACCTTGGCTAAGAGCAGCAGCAGCAGCCAGCAGGCAGCAACAACAACCACAAGCACACACTCACTCTGCGACGAAGCGAAGAGTCATCGTCGGCACTTGTCGTGTCTGGCAGAGCTTCGTTTTAAGCTGAGCGCTCAAGCCGTTGCCTGCCTGCCTTCCCATTTGCCTTGACTTTGACTTTAGTCTCAGCAAAAGAGAGCTTTTAAGCCACCGACGTCGGCGTGCTGCTGGTGGCGACGGCGACTGCGGTTTGGCTGCTGCTTGTCTTAGTTCTTTAAGTCCGTCGTTGGCCGGGCTCCTCTTCAGTTCGTGCTGACCATCGTACCCGTGCGGACGTTCCCAAGCTCAGAGACCCGATCCGATCCGACTGATCAGATCCGATCCGATCCAGACGACTCTCGTGTAGTGTGGCTGCACTTTGCACTATTTGGCCCCACCAACAAAAACCACCCAAAACAGCAAAAGCCAAGCAAAACATTTGGATTTCAATACAAATCTGAAAAAATAAGAAACAAGTGTCGCGGCGCGAGTGCAAATCAAAAAGAAACACCACACAAAACGGTAGCTAAAAAATACTCAACAATAAAATACAATAAAAAAAGGAGGAAATAATAATAATAATCATCAGTAAAAATGATTAGCAAATTTCTGTCGAGTGTGTGGCACACAGTCATTGATCCTGCTTAGCACTTGGCTGTGGAATGTCCAGACCTCTAGCTTTCCAGTGTGCGTTTTTTTGGTTTCTAAGCACCTGGAAGGGGAACCGAATCGGCCAGGAATCGGGCATCGGGAATTGGACTAAGGCGCGGCCATTGGGCGACTGTGTAATTTCTGTTTTCTTGCGCATTCAATGCACACACACTCGAAGCTCTTTTTGTACGAAAAGCGTAAAACGTAAGAAAAACAAACAGCAAACAACCAGATAGACAAACACACCAGCAACAGCAGCAGCAGCGGCAGGAGGAGGAGATGACAACGGCCGTGGCAGTGGCAGAGGCAGTCAAGTGAAGACAGTGCAGCGCACTCCACTCCTGTCCCCAGTCTTGTGGCCAGTTTGGAGATGGAGATGCAGATGCACAGAGACCAAGCACAGGCCTGGTCCATGCCACAGCCGCAGCCACAGTCACATGTGTGTCTCCCTCTTCTGCTCTCTTCCTCCTGCTATCTGTCTCACTTGTGGTGCTGCCGCCATATTGGGTGCATAACGGTGCAAAAATCGCGCTGCTCTTTTTTGTTGCCTTGTGTCTAAGTTGGTTCTGTTCTCTTTGGCGTTCTTGCCACGGCCACACGGCCACACGGCCACACGGCCCCAACTCCAGCCCCGATCCCCAGCCCGGGCTCGGCTCTCTGTGTGTGCATTCGCATTGATGGCGACCCAGCGACCGATAGACCGACCGAGACGAGACGACAGCGACAGCGACAGCAGCGAACAAAAAAATGCTGCCAGAGCGGGGCTCCCATCTACTTCTCCTCCAACTTCACCTCCTCCTTTCAGTTTTTTGCGGTTAGCCATCGCAACACTTTGCACATGCTGATCGATTGTGGGGAGATCATCTTCATCTTCAGCTCCATCTCCATCTCCATTTTCATTTCCCATCTCGAACGGCCCTCCTTCTCGCCTGCTGAGTGGGTCAGCAAAGTGAACCGTTTGCCCTGCTCCAGGCTCGAGGCACCAATCCACAAGTAACGCCCACGCACATCACCTTCTTGGCCCCACATGAACAAAATCCGCCTTTTGGGGGCCTAACCCTTTTCGCTGACCAAATGCAAATAGTCATAATAGTAACGTAGGCAGAGGCCAGAGGCCAGAGGCGGAATTAGCATGAGAGTTGTGGCACGGCACTAAAACTGGAGATCAACTAATTCTTGGGCCCAGCTCTCACCATGGTCCAATTTAAATTGAACTCTGGAGGCCATTTCCTCAGCTCTGCCTACTCTCCTGCCGCCTATGATTTTTTATTAAGTTATAAACAAAGCGGGAGATGGGAGATGGATGTTTTATAGACCTTTTTCACAGCACCACATAACGGTAATGCCCCCGAGAGCGCCACATTCTCAGACCTAAGACCCAGAAGACAGACCCAAGACACAAGCAAGAGGGACCCAGGAACGGGACCAGACTCATGCATTGCAATAAAATGAAATTTTATAACAGCAGCCGCAGCAGCAGCAGCAGCAGCAGCAGGCAGCAGCCGCAGCGAGCGACAACAAAAACGTTGCCCAAATTCCAACAAAAAAAGAACGCAAGAAAAGCCAAGACAAGACAGCCAAAGAATGGCAGAGAGAGAGAGAGAGGCAGACAAAGGTCGTCACAGCAAGTGAAAATAGCAAAAGAGACAGAGAGAGAGGGAGAGGGAGAGGAAGAGTAAGACAGAGAAGTGGAAGACCCAAAACGGAATACACTTCCAGTTCCGTGGCTCAGGTGTTAATTTCCCATTTTCGGGGTTTCCGAGAGGCAAGTTCGTCGCCTAAGTTGTTCGTTTTCGGTTTCTCGGTTTTTCGGTTTTTGGGTTTTTCCGTCTGCTGCCGTCTTTCGCTTTAAAGTGGAGCGCGCACCGCTCGAATGCGCCCAACTGAATGCGAATGAGGGGCGTATGGACAGCTAGCCGGCCGGTCCCGGTGCCCCCCTCTCAGTGCCCACACTTTGCCACTGCAAAATAATAAAAACAGAAATTATTATTATTATTATTATTTCGTTCTTTTTTTTTTGGTTCGTAGTCTGTTGGGGTCTGGTTTTTGTGGGGCGCATTTCCTTTTGCTGCCCCCTCAAGAAAGACACACCACAGCAGAAGAGGAGGAGGAGAAAAAACCTCAAACGTTTTTCGTTCCGTTTCTGACCCTAAAAGTTCAAAAGTTTAAGTCAAGTTTTCCCAAAACCAAATCTCCGACTCCTTTCCACAGCAAAACGAAAATCAAGAAAAAAATCAACAAAAAAGAAAGAAGGAAAACCCATATATTAACGACTGCAACGAGGAGTACAACCAGTAAAAACCTCAACAGATCTCAACACAAAAAGAGTCTTCTTTGGCCTGCAACTGCAACAGATACCCGAGTCAGCAGCAGCGCGCTTCTCTGGGAGCGCTTCAAGAAGCGGCACAATGACAGCGACTGCGACTGCGACAGCAGCGTCAGCATCGGCATCAGCAGCAGCATCGGCGAGAAAGCAACCTGCAACAATCGCAATGCTCAATGGAAACGCTTTTACGGTTAAGCGGCTCTTAGCGGTAAGTGAACTCAACTTCCATTCCCATTTTTGCACACCCCCTTTCAGGGCGTTGCCAATTCAAATTGCTCCACAAACAGCAAACGAAATGAAATGAAATAAATGTTTGTCAACTGCCCCGTCGAACCATTGTTAATGGCAGCAGCAGCAACAGCAGCTCTCTACAATCATTTTTTGTTGTTTTTTGGCACAACTCTTCTTTTCTGGTGTGGGCTGCCAGCCGCCAGCCGCCAGCCGCCTGCCGCCTGCTGACTGCTTTGGCACTTCAATCGTGGGCCGCGCGCGATCTTTTCTTTCTGTTTAAAGAGCTGTGAAGTCGGCCATTGGGTCAAATTGTAGCTGATAGATGGATAGGGAGGCAGTCTCGCAGATGATGTTCCTCCATGATGATGCTGATGATGATGATGTACCATCGGTTGGGGGTCTCTACGCTTCACTTCTTCAATCCGAGAGTAATGTGGGCAAATTAATCTAATAAAAGGTGGGAGTTTATTCTCTAGTGCTCTCTCTGTCTGCATTAACTCAGCATGAATGAATTATTTGGTTCATAAATTTCATTGCCCGACACTTAATCATTATTATGGTTAGACGGGTACGTGTACTATTCGTAGAGAGTGTTTCCTCGCTCGCTGTCTCTGGGCTGGGAACTAGCTTACCTATAAATAGGTTCTTCTATTGAATTGGTTGACTCTTTTTATGGATTCATTAGCGGCGCAGCAAAGAAAAAAGAAAACATAAAAGAAAGGAAGTTGCGCAAATTTTATGGAATTTATAATGTTTTAGTGCTCTCGTGAAGCGGCTCTCATTTCTCTCGAAGTTTCTTTTTTATCTTTCCATTACTTTTCCTTATAGTCCAATGAATTTACCATCTTTGCCTCTGTAATCCCAGGCCAGCAAGGGCTCTGGTGCCTTTGGCCAACAAACAATTTATCCATTTCAATGTTCTGTTCTTGGTTCTGGTCAGCCCCAAAGCCCCTCAAGTGCATTCATTATGTGCAGCCATGTTGGAGTCTGCTCTGTCTGGTCAAAGGTCAGCAGACGGTCTGGCGCCCGACGATCATTAAACAAAACAACAACAACAAAAAGTACGAAAGTAATTTGTAAAACACGAAAAATTATTTACCTTTTTTTTGCTGCTGCTGCTGCTGTTGCGGCTGTTCTTGCTGTTCTTTTACGATTCGAAATTACAATGAACGAACGGGCAACATCAACAACAACAACTGCAACTGCAGCGGCAACGGGTCTTCATTAGCACAGAAGACCGACAGCCGCGTATTGTACAAATTCTTGGCCATAAACCCAAAAACAGGAAGAACAGAAAAATAAATATGCCAAGACAGAGAACCAGAGAGAACACTGAGAATCCACAGAGGAGAGAGATGCAGCCGCTTGATGAATGATGTTTTGGCAGCTTTACAGACACAGTCGGACATTTGGCCAAGAGCTGGAAGACGAATGGTCAGGAGGAGGATTACAAATTGCCGGGTGGACATGGTTCGACGGTTATTAGCCAGTCCTCTGCTGTGCAGCATCCATCCTCTCTGCATAAGCATTCCCCTGAGAGCCATTCCAAAAGGTTGTCAAATCTGCGGCCAAAACAATAAGCTGGCAATGAAAGTAACTTGGCTTTTATTTATTGGGTCAATAGACAGACGCAGACACAATCTAATGGGGCACACATTCTCTGCACCATTCTCTGGCCTGCCTCTCTGTCCATTCCACGAGTATCTGTATCTCGTGCTCAAAAGCCGCTTGAAAGCATAATTAAACAATTTCTACTCATTCTTTATTGACATTTTATTGATGCCGCCAGCGAACGGTTCCATTTCATTCGTATTGGCTTTTCGATTCAGGTTCTGTTTCTGTTTCTGTTTCAATGCCGAGCTGTTGAGGTGCGGAGATACTTTTACCCGCTTCGAGTGGCTCCGATTTGTTTTGTATTCTTCTTGCCATTGATCTCATGAGTGATCCATTGAGTGCTTTTTCTTATGGCTCTTTAACAATCGTTGGCACCTTGCCAAGAGTGCTGTAAATCCGTGTGTTATTTTAACAGCAAAATGTACTTGAGAGCTTAGAAAATAAAACTCTTTTGTTTGTGGTTTTACTGCAACAGAAATTGAGTTTCCATCGGGAATAGTTTGGGTTTTATTTTTGTAGTTTTTCATTGGAACTTGTAATATTTTTGCTAGTTTAAAATGATCTTTTTATTCCAAGAATTTCAAATTACACTTAGGAAAGAATCCCCCCCATGCCAATAAGTACTTACTTTTCCACGAATCATGGGATACACATCTTCATTTATCACAATCAGCGATGGGGGGGAAAAGGATTCCTGGGCTGCCAACAAAGTGGACCCTCGCTGCCACATGTAACTGTGGTTTTAATGTCTCAACTTGTACAATTCTACACAGAGAACAGAGGGATAGAGTGGGGCAGAGACGTCTCGGATTGCGTGTCTGTGGAATTGGCATCCAAATTGGAGAATTCTCTTACCAATTAGCGGCTGTGGCAGGGGCTGACCAAATGGAATTCCCCTCCGTGAGCGCAAACTTTATGTAATCATTGCATTTAATGCGTTAACGAAAACTGGAGCGGGGGAGAGCCACCAGCAGAGTACCGTTGCTTAGTATGCAAAAGAATAGAACCCGAAACCGAAACCCAGTTACCCAACTCTGCTGTGTATCTGAGTATCTGTGTATCTCTTTGTATCTCTGTGTGTGTTTCGGTTAGGTAATGCCCCCGAGAGCCCGAACCCAGAGACCATAATTAATGGCGTGTGGCGCTCGTTCGCGATGAGCAGAAAGTACATTGCACTCTCTACTTGCCACAAAATTCAGCTTATTTATTAGCCAACAACAGAGCCAAGAGCAGAGTCTGAGCCAGAGCCAGAGCACACGTTCTAAGCGCAAAAAAAAACCTACACAAAAGATTCAGCTGCTCGAAGCGTAGCTCTACGCCTTTTCTTGGCTAGTAGTGGGTTCCCTTGGTTTTTGTTTCGGTTTCTTGTTTTGTTTCTTTTTTTTTAATTATAGATCCCAAGTACGTATGCCCCCGGGCACTATACTCCCTACTTACCCCCTTGGGGCGTGTGCGCGGTGTTCAGGCAACTGTTAATTTTGTCTTACAACCTGCGTCTCGTATCGCTTAAAGCATCTGCCACATATCTCTGTCTCTCTCTCTGTCTATGCCCGATACACTTACTCGTACACCCCAAGCGGTATTTCATTCATAAAATAGACTTCAGCAAACTGCGCCGATTACTGCCGATTAGAGGCGCTCTTTTTTCATAGTTTTTTGTGGCCTTTTGACGGCTACGAATATTCCGTGCATTCTGGCAATTTGTTGATTTTTTCTTTGGGTTAGAGCATCTCTGAGAAAGAGCGTTTGTGGCCAAGATCCATGTTGTTGGCTAATTTGTTGGCTCATTTGTGTTAAGTTGCGATCTCTTTGTGCATTACCTAATCATAGTTTGTGCCAGCAAATTGAATAGCAAAATTTATGCACTTTAAATTGGGTAATTTTGGGCATAGGAACATAAGCGGGAGATGCAGATTGGTAGATGAGAGATAATAAAAATCATATTAAATATCTACATAATTTCGCACTTCCTGCGAAGGATTTTCTTCCCTTTATTACACATCTTCCACGCAATATTCTTCCCCTTTTTTAAACCGTAAAATCTCTGCTTCCCTTTTGCAGCTTCTCATCATGTTCACAGTGCTGCTGACGAGGAGTGAGGCATTGGAGCTGGGTGACAAGTGCCAGCATGACATGGACTGTACGGATTTCATCAAGGGCTCCAGCTGCTCGGCCCTCGGCTACTGCGAGTGTGCGCCATATTTTGTTCAACTGAATTCCAAGCGCTGTTTGTCATGTAAGTAGGCAATGTCAATCTTTGGTTGGCCCCAAACGGAGCCCAGTGGGAGTGGCATGGGCCAAGGGGGGACAAACATTGGACCCAAAGAATGTTTGTCTGTTTTGTGGGCAAACAATGGGGTGCAACGTTGCATCCAAGAACCGTTAACACAACTCAACAGCGATGCGACTCTCACTCTAACTCTTTCTCTGTCTCTTTTACAGCCCAACTGCTTGGCGGCGACTGCCAACTGAGCGAGCAATGCTCGATGAAGGTGGCCAACAGCAGCTGCCTGGATGGGGCCTGCCGCTGCGTCGAGGGATTCTTGCAGTTCCGCAAGCACACCTGTCTGGGACGTAAGTATCTGGCGACCGTTGGCCAGCAACTCTTGTGGCCCTAAGCACACGGCCAAAGCAAACTCCACACACACACACGATGTGGCAACTTTAACTCTTAATAATATCATTAACTGATCTGTTCGTTTCGCTGTTTGCAATAAACGAACGCAGCTCTGGCCACAGAATCATCTCTCTCTCTCTCTGTCTTTGATTGCTTATCATTTTACCCTCCGCCATCTCTGACTCTCTCTCTCTCTCTCTGTTAGTTGTGGAATGTCACGCACCCTTGTGTGGCAGCAAACATTTCCTGTGTTTGCGCAGAGATTTTCCCTTGCCGCACTTTGCTGCCACTTGACACAGGCAATTAACATGGCCATAACAATGGCACTGGCAATGCAATAACGAACCAACACACACCAGGTACACACTCTAAGCAGACAATCGTGTCACTAATTATACGCATAATTGGTTAATTTTCCAAGAACTGGCTAACAACCTGACTAGAAATCGCCACACAGAGCCGAAGAGAACCAAACAGAACAGAACAGAACAGAACAGAAACTCAAATGTAATATGTAAATGTTTGACTCTAGACTCCAGAGATCTCTTCGATCTTTCTTTCTGTCTCCCTGTGTGTGTGTGTTAAGATGTGTGAAAGATACATTTCGAGCGCTACTTCGAGGCTGCAACTAAGCTGAGTGAATCATAGATGAATCATTTTGGCATTAGATGAATCAGAAATGAAACTAGAAAAGGGGAAACCATAACACTCCACGCTTAGAGAAGAAACCTTACTCTCAGGCAGAAGAACTTTAGACCCAGAACTGCACCGTAAAGAAATATTTCTCATACCTTTCGTAGTTCTGTGATCAGTGATCATTGCAGTCACAGTCGTCCGTGGTTCGGCAGCCCTGCTGTCCAACGATTGTCATCTACTAGCTCGAGGAGCAGAGAATTCCACTTCCTATTGGCGCATTGGCGCCAAGTGGCGTTAATCTGATTAGAATGAATGTCGACTGGCAGCGAGCAACGAGAGGGGAGACTGAGAGAGAGAGAGAGCGAGAGCGAGAGAGAGCGCAAGAGGAACACGTTGAAAGGAGAGCAATGAGGCACGATCATGGACATGCTGCAACTGCAACAGTTCGTGTCATTGCCATTCACCTGTTTTGTTGTAGCTGCTATCCGCTCCTCTCTCCTCTTGACCCTCTGCTGACTTAATTATATATCCATTGAATTCTATATATCCGGCAGGGGGAGGGCGTGCCGCGACATCTGGCCGAGAGTGCGCTTCAAATATTTAATTAAAAACTCATTTTAATGACAAGAGGAGCGTGTGGTCAAAAGGCAGCTGCAGGTGCACACGAGGCTACTGTGTGGCAAGTGGCAGGCAGTGGGGCAGCGCCAACAGGCATTCATTTATGAGATACTTTCACCAACAAAAAAACAGCAGCAGCACAATGGCAACGGAATGAAATGAATGAACCTTTCACCAAAAAGGAAAATCCTTAGCGCTGTGTCTCCTGTGCAGCTTCAGCTCTTTGCTGCTTCTTTGATTTGTATCTGGCATATCTCTCTCTCTCTCTCTCTCTCTCTCTCTCTCTCGCTCTGTCGTTCTCCCATTCTGTCGCTACTTTACATGCCTAATTGCCTCGACTGGCGGCTGCTGGCTTCTGGATGCTGGTTTTAAATGTAATTAAATTGCACTGATTAAGCGCCAGTTGCCATTGGACTCCACAGCAAAAGAAAGTCACAGCAAAGAGTCCAATTAGTTCTCGGTGAGAGAAAGAGACAGCTACAGGCAGGAGCCCAAAAACCTGGAGACCAAAAATGTTTGGCTTGCAGTTGACAAAAAAAAAATGTTGCACACATTTGGCAATGGGCACGGCCTACGACCATTCACTTTATCCCAGCTTCATCTCTTTCCCTCTCTCGCTATCTATACCCCTCTCTCTCTTTCGCTCCCTCTCTCTATCTCCCTCTCTCTCTCTCTCTCTCTCTCTCTGTCTTGTCTTTCTCTTGGGTCAAGTGAAGCAAGTTGTGTGCCAGATTTTGTGAGCTTGTCAGGCTTTCGCTCGCTGTGTCTCTGTCTCTGTCTCCGACGCTACCTCTGCTGCTGCCCCATTCGGTGGCATTCGGTTTATCAAGCTGCCACTTGTTCCAGTTTCCCATGCACCTTAACCCATCGAAGTCGAGGCGCCCCATACCGGGATTGGCCGTTGCTACGTTCCCTGTTTGTCTTTTGTTTTTTTTTTTTTTTGTGGCCTTTTCTAACGAGGCAGCAAGAACAATAAGAACATTTTCCTCCAGCCCAACCAACGATCTTTATGAGCTCTCTCGTATGACAAACTCTAGGTGCTGCCACCCCTTGGGGCACGTTTGAAAGAGAGCTCAGGTTGCGGGGGGGGGGCACAAAAGTATGCCACGTACGAGCAAGTCTTTGCATTCAAACAGATAATGAACAGACAGGCAGGCAGAAGATGCTGCGAGAGCCAGTTGCTGGAAAAAGTGTCAGGCGCAGATCAGGCACAGCTTTTGCCTGGGAAACCATTAGCTGCTCTCATTATATGAGCAAGAAAAGCAAATTGCCAACGCAACTCACTTTCTGCAGAGCTGCCAAAACTCAGCAGCGGAAAATTACTTTCCCTTGCGACACCTAGAGAGACAAGAAAAAAGCAATGAATTCCATTTCATTTCGCATGACCCACAAAAGCGTTAGTCAAAAGCCTCAAACTGTGTTAATTTGCGGCCAAGAAGCTGAAACAGAAAATGGCCAGAATGAATGCTGGTGGTTTTGGCCATTTGAAACTAAATTGCGCCAAATGCCAAATGCCAAATGCCAAATTGCAATGCAAATTATGTGGAACAGTGGCAATTCCTCAGCTGGTGGCAGCACTTTTGGCCACTTCCGCAAACAATAAGAAAACAACTCATAATGGCAGGAAAACCTCAGAGCCCATAGCATTTGCATGCCTCATGCAAATTGCCACAATTAATTACGTGTAGCATAAAGTTATGAGCAAAAAACACAAAGAAGAATCCGCTGCGGCACTTGGAGATATTTTACGATATTTGTTGCGCGCTAATGAAAGTTGCCCGGCAGCAAAGAGACTTATTAAAGCCACAGGAATGCAACGCAGATGCACAGACACAAGTGTATCTGTAGCTGGCAGCTGTATCTGTATCTGTATCTGTATCTGTATCTGTGCGTGCTGGCAGTTGACACAGATTTTGCAATTCCGGCCACCGGCAGCGACAGATCAAGCCACATGGCAGCTTCAATAATAATTTATGCTGATTTTGATGCGAATTATGGTTTATGATGCCTGCAGAGAAGCAATTTTCACACGCGTTTGCAGCAGCGAGTGCGCCCCACAGTGTACTCGAAGTGGGTTAGGCTTACAGGCTGCCAGTCGTGCAGCAATTCGCATGCAACCTGTCACAGCAGCAACAGCAGTGGCCCCAGAGGGTGCCCCCTGAGTAGGGGGAGTGGCAGATCGATCATCGTTTTTGCTCAACGCAAATCCCAGGGTCTCCTGCGGCTGCGGCTGCTGCTCCTTCTTTTGTGTTATATAAAAGTGAAAGATGAAGCCAAACATTTTGCTCCCACTATGGTCATAGAGAGAGAGAGAGAGAGAGACAAAGAGAGAGATCTTCCTGGTTGCTGCCATATTGGTGTCAAAGCTGCAGCGAGAGACACGTTTGAGCTACTCGCATTTGGAATGGCAAAAAGTTGGAGTCGCCACAGAGTCAGAGTCAGCATCAGAGCTGGAGTCAGAGTCAGCGTCAGAGTCAAAGTCAGTGCCAGTGTCAGTGTCAGTGGCATTGCATTCGTTAAGTATACGCCACGTTTGCCGCTTGCCGTTTGCCTTTTATGTGCTTTGACTTTGGCTTTGGCTTTGACTTTAGCTGCAACCGGTTCCCCCCAGTGGCCAATGCCAAATGCCAAAATCAAACGCCGGCAAAAGGCCTTTGGTGAAATGCCGACAGAAAACGTTTGACTTGAGTTTGGATTTTGGAAATGAAATTCCCCGAGAGGGTTCGATCGAAAGGGCACACACAGATTTATGATCTGCAAAGCAAACTCCTGCTGGAAACTCTGAGCAGACACAGCCCTAAGGGCGAACTGCAGGTGGCTGCTGGTAACTGGCATGTCGCCAGGTTGCTGGTTGCTCAGTTGTTGCACAGTTTGCCTGCAACACCAAACACGAAACAAGTGAAAACAAGTTGAGGCAGCAACTGTGGCTCTTTGGCTCTCGACTCTGCAGCTAGTCCAGAAAGTGGGTCAGAGTCAGAGAGCTCTGAGATTCCAGTGGCTGTTCGCGGGGGGGAAACACACTCGGGCAGACACGCAGGTGGCAGGCAGGCAAGCAGGCAGGCAGGCAGGCAGGCAGGCAGGCAGGCGAGTGGAATGCTGATGAGGAACGGTAATGGGAATGGGCGACGTCACTGGCGGTTCGTTCCTCTCTTTTTTGTGACCAAGGGAGAGGGGGGCGGCAGAGTGGGAGCCGCTGCATGCGTTGAGCTTGATGCAGTTGCAGTTGACTTTATTGACGGTTATTAGGCCTGTCGAAGGCGGCCTAATGCCTGTGGGCCTCGTACTCGTTGCAGCACTTGGGGGCAACTGCAACTGCCGCTGCTCTTGGGGTGTTGCTGTACATGATGATGACGATGATGAGTTTTTAATATGCATTTGGTGCTTGCCGGAGAGTTCGGTTTACGGTTAACTTAATAACACATCCATAAAGCATCGAGAATTAGATCTGCAAGCGCTGCAAGAAATGCAAAAAAAAATACACAAAAAATTCTCATGAGAATCTTTTTTCTTTTTTCTTTTTTTGTTCTTTTCCTCGTTGCAGCTGCCCATCCCGGTGCCGTTTGCTACAGCCATGCCCACTGTCAAATGTTTGATACACGAACCCACTGCGATTTTCTGATTCCGAATCTCTTTGGACGCTGCCAGTGCACGGCACCCACAAAGATGATTGCCGGACAGTGCCAGGCACCAGCCACGGATGAGCAGCCCAGCGAGAAGGTAGAGAAGCTGACAACAACAACCAGTACCACGACACCAGAGCCTACAACGAGGAGATCAACCACCACAACGACAACAACAACTCCTGCACCCACCACAAGGGCAACAACAACCACAACGACAACGACAACTGCCGCGCCCATACAGCTGGAGGATGAGCTGCCGGCGAGCGTGGAGGAGCAAACCCTCGAGGAAGACGATGGTGAGGCTGTCAAGCTGCGGCCAGAGATCTCCGAGCTGGACAATGGCGAGAAACTGGAGGCCATAGACATGGCGCACGAGGAGACGGAACTCACACAGCAGCAGGAGCAGCAGGAGCAGCAGGATGCGGAAAAGGAAGCAGCAGAAACAGCAGCAGCGGCAGCAGAAGCAACCCATGAAGATGCTGCCACCACTGGCAGCCAACAGCTGCTGACACCCGCCGATGTGCCCACCGAGAATGCTGTGGGTGTCGAACAGGAGACAGAGGGCGGCCCCACTGAGGATTATCCCTACAAGATCGATGAGGAGTACACAGAGGAGCACGAGACGAGGCCAGAGCTGGTGGTGGTAGAGCAGCCCGAACATCAGTACGAGGCAGAGCATGTCGATGGGGAGGACGCTGTGGAGGAGGCCTCGGGCGCTGAGGAGATTGCCTCATTGCCCGTCGACGATACCATGAAATTCGATTATGAAACGCCCGTCGAGGAGGCGGAGATGGAGGCTGACAAAGAGGAGGAGCCGCAGACAGCAGACCATCAGCATCATCATAATGATAATGATAATGCTGATGAGGTGTTGGTGCCCATTGAGGCCGAGAGCGAGACTGATGCAGAGGCCACGACTCAGAGCCAAGCGCTGCTGCAGGATGAAGACGATCAGGAGCCGGCACAAACGGTGGCTGACGAGGATTTGATACCCGTGAATGGAGGTGGAGGTGGAGGAGCTGCAGAAATTGAAAGTGTGACGAAGGTGACAGAAGTGGAGCTGCCCGAAGAGGAGGAGGAGGAGGATCAAGCTTCGGGGGATCATGAGATGGCAACGCCAGACATCGCGGCAGTGGCTAATGATGAAGTTCCAGCCAAGGAGGAGGCGCAGCAGGTGGAGCAAACAGAAGCGCTGAAGATCGAAGAGCCGGCAAAGGTGCAGCCAGAGAGTGAAAGCCAAAAGGAAGTGACTGAGGAGGAGCCTAAAGAGGAAGTGGAGCAGCCAGAGACACAAACCGAAGCCGCAGAAGTGGTGGCAACCACAGAAGCTGCCCCACAAGTGGAAGCTGAAACAGAGCAGCAACAGCAGCAACCCGAGGCTGAGGCCACAGAGGAGAAGGAGCCAGAACCAGAGACGGAACCAGCGACGGAGCCAGAAATCGATCAGGCAGAACAAAGCGCCGACATCAAGCCGACAAGTGGCGAAGATGATTTAAATGTAGGCAATCAATTAAATCAAGATCAAGAGCAAGAGACACAGCCCCAAGCAGCGGAAGAGATTGCCAGCGAAGCAGAGAAGGAGCAGCAGCAGCAGCAGGAGGAGGTGGAGGAGAGTGTGGCAGAGGCAGACCAAGAGGCAGTCCAAGAGCCAGTGGAGGAGATCCAACAAGATGCAGATGAAGCCACAACAGAGCCACAAGAAATCAAAGTGAAACCAGTTGAAGAGGAGGAGCAGCAGCAGCAGCAACCAGAGCACGAGGAAGAAGACACACAGCTGGAAGACACAGAGTCAGAGTCAGAGACAGAGGGAGAGGGAGAGACAGAGACAGAGACAGCGACGGTGGCAATCACCGAAGCAGAGCACGAACAATTGACATACCCAACAAATGATGATGAATTGGCGCCAGTTGAGCAGCGGCCAGAGGAGGAGCAAGAGCAAGTGGCAGAGCAACAGACCACAGAGGCGGCACTCCAAGAACCAGAAATTTCCAGCACAGAGCAGCAGCCAGAACAGCAGCAGGAGGCGCTAGAGGAGCAGCAGCAAGAGGCAGAGCCAGAGGCAGAGCTCACCCTGGTGGAAAATGCAAATGCAATTAAAACGCCTGAAGTGTCGGAAGCAATTGCTGAGCCACAGGCAGAGCTGAGCCCAGAGGAGCTGCAAACCGAAACAGTCACCGAACAGAACAGTGAGGCAGTGTTGCCCCAGGCCATTGCTAATGATGAAGTGTCGCAGGTGGATGCAGATGCAGATGCAGATGCAGATGTGGATCCGCAGCCAGAGCAGCTGCCAATTAAGACACCCGAAGATATTGAGCCGGAAGCGAGCGAAGCTCTGACAGAGATCACTCCATCATTGAGCGAAGTGGAAAGCGAACTGCAAGACGAAACTGTCACAGAGCGCAGTGAAAGTGCCGAGGAGCCGATGGAGAGCCATAAAGATGAAACGGAAACCATTAAAACTGAGAATGATAACATCATTCAAGGTGCCGAGCCGAATGCGGAGCAGGAAGCCAAGCCAGAGGGGGAACCAGAGCAGCAGGAGGAGGAGCTGAGCAAGCCAGAGCTGGACTACACCAGCATCGAGCACCTGCAAGAGCTGCCCAAAGAGCAGCAGGAGGAGGATGAAGACAAGCCCGTTGCCACTGCAGAGGAGGATTACAATCAAGCTGAGACGGAGACCGAAACCACACCCGCACAGCTAGCATCCAACGATGATGACAATGAAGATGAGGAAGAAGCCACCGTCGAGTCCACTGTGGCGCCACAGATCAGTGCCATTGTCAGCGAGGAGCAGGACCCGGAGCAGTTCCATGAAAGCGAGAGCATTGCCGACATTCTCAGCGACCTGATGCTGGAGGGAGACAGCACCGTGCCGCCCGTGCCCTTCGGCCAGCAGCCTGCCCAAACCGTGCCCATGGTGGAGGCCAACGAGGACAACGAGGAGGAGACAGCTGTATCCGATCTTCTGGCAGAGGCTGACGAAACACACGACGAGGAGCACGTGGAGCAGGTGCAAGCGCCAGCAGAGTCAGAGCAGGAGCAGATTCCAGCCATTCCAGATCTCTTTGCGGAGGCGGCAAACGATGAAGAGGAGCAGGAGGAGCAGACAGACCAGACGACGGCCGTTCCCACAGCAGAGGAAGCTGAAGAATCCACCACGGATGCCAAGGATGAGGAGAAACTAATCACCTTCTACCCAGAGGAACAACAGGAAACCGAATCGATACCAGAGGAAGCCACCACACTAAAGGAACCCCTCGAGCAGCAGCAGGAGCAGGAGGCCACCCTATCCCCCGAGGAACTGCCCTTCGATCTCAGCGATCACTCTCAGCCCATTCGCATCAACGAACTCGAGTCGGACAACCTCATAGTGGAGTCCACCACCAGCTTCGATGGCATCCATGAGCTGGACAGCAACCACATCGAGGAGCAGCCTGCCGCACATGCCAGCGCCCATGAGGAGGCCACACCCAATCCCGCCGACATTGTGGAGATCACCACGCAGACCATGTTGGGTCTGGCCAGCCGTGTGACGCTCATGGAACCCGCTGCACCAGTGGCCACCACGCTGATGCCGCTGATGACCCCGGATGAGCCCACGCCGGAGCCAGTGGTGCCGTCCTTCGCCTCTTCGCAGTTCAATCTTGCCTCGGAGCTGCGCAAGCGCGTGGATCTCGGCCTGGAGGCCATCTCCCTGGGCCTGGCCTGCAGCAGCGATCGCCAGTGCCAGCTGTCGGATCCCCATACGGTGTGCAATGCACGCGGAGTCTGCGACTGTGCAGGCAGCAGCGAGCAAGCTGAGGGTCAGTGCAGTGCACAGAGCACAGGCTGCAGTCCGGGCACCTTTCAGGTAAGTGCAAAAGGCAGCAAGAACCCAAGAGATCGGAAGAAGTTAACCTTTTCTCTCCCCTCTTTTGCAGTGCCGCTCCAGTGGCGTTTGCATCTCATGGTTCTTTGTGTGCGATGGACGCGCTGACTGCAACGATGACTCCGATGAGGAGTGCACCCACAATGCGCGACTGAACCAGACCTGTCCCACGGAATCGTTCCGCTGCCAGCGCAGCGGTCGCTGCATCTCCCGCGCTGCCCTCTGCGACGGACGGAAGCAGTGTCCCCATGGCGAGGATGAGCTGGGCTGCGATGGCAGCTTCAAGGGCGGCAACGCCTGTCCCGAGCACACGTTCCGCTGCAAGAGCGGCGAGTGCCTGCCGGAGTACGAGTACTGCAATGCCATTGTGTCCTGCAAGGATGGCAGCGACGAGCCGCCGCATCTGTGCGGCTCACGCTCCGTGCCCAGTCTCTTTATGCGACTCTTCGATGCGGGTGGCCTGCTGGGCGGTGGACGACGCGACTCCGCCGATGCCTACTGTCCGCATCGTTGCAGCAACGGACTGTGCCGCTCCACGGCCATTGTGTGCTCCGGACGCGACGGATGCGGAGATGGCACTGACGAGCAGACCTGTGCCGTGTGTCGTAAGTGGAACTAGAGGATTGTCTGCAGGAATATGCGAACTCTAATGCTGATCTTTTGCTCTTTTCTTCTGTAGGTTGTCCCGCCCCAACTGCGGCCAGCCTGCCCGGCTATCTTGCCCGGCAACGCCCCATGCCGCTGTGGTAGAAAGGAGAGAGAGGAATATATAGGGATCCGAAACCAATTATTCAACACCGACTGCAACGTTTTGCCACACTATTACTCAAGCTTTCCAACACTAACTGTCGCTTTATCGAACTCTATTCCCCCCCCCCCCCCTGCATATTCGAGACACATTTTTGACTAGCATTTAAGGTTGATATTTTAACGAAAAATTATTTATTTATTTATTTATGATTTTAGCTGCGCCCCTTGCCACGCCCAATTGACCCCTTGCTATCAAAGGGGCTGACCCTTTGAGCCAGTGATGTTTGTCAATTGAGCTAATGGACGCAACCCTAAAAAAAAGACACATCCACACACACACACACACACACACACATCCCACTTCGATTATTTATTCTACTCATCCCTGTGCCCCAACCATTAAACTATTTATTTATCCTTCATGCCCACAACCCCCAAAAGAGCAACAACACTACACGAAACACGATACCACACAAACAATCTTCATTTAGTTTAGTTTTATGCAAATTTTCTAATCTAATTTATTTAAATTATTGGCCCGGCAAAACCCACAAAACGGAAACGAAAAGCGAAAATTGATGCATTTTTATTGATTAATTATTTGTAAATAAGTAAACGAGATCGTTCGATGATAAAGATCAGTTTTTAACTATTATTCATTCCCCCTATAACTTATTCCATGTATTTGTATGTATTGTATGTATTTAGGGTACACACACACACACAGACGCAGCTTCAAAGTTTTCTCAAAGTCACAGCCAAGTTATCAGAATAAACATCAAATCCATTGCAGCAGGGCGAAAAATGCATCAACAAAAGAAATGACAATAAAAAGAAAATAAAATATATTTAAAACATACAAAAAACTGCTTAAAAATATTATTAAAGTGGGTTTGTTCAAATATTCCATGATGATATCATGTGCTGGGATAGTCCAGCGCCAGAGCACTGCCCGGAATATACTGTCATCGCCGTCGATGGCCCCTACATATTGTGGAATAATCTAGGCATAGATAGTCTTTGATTTAGTACTGCACTCGCCCAGCAGTTATCTTGGCCAAGTTCTTAATCTCGATCGTATTTACGAGCCTCCCGCGTATAAAAGGCAACGCGGAAGAGTGCTAAGAACAAGTTGTATCTGCAACATGAAGGTATTCATTACAATTCTGGCTTTGGCTGTGGCCTCTGCCTCGGCCTACGAGAGCGTGGTTCATCCCAAGGATCTGCCCAAGGTGGCCAAGATCGAGGGACGCATCACCAATGGCTATGCGGCCCCTGAGGGCAAGGCACCCTACACCGTTGGCCTGGGCTTCAGCGGCGGCTGGTGGTGCGGTGGCTCCATCATTGCCCACGACTGGGTCCTCACCGCCGAGCACTGCATCGGAAACGCCGACTCCGTGACCGTTTACTTCGGTGCCACGTGGCGCACCAATGCCCAGTACACCCACTGGGTTGGCAGGAACAACTTCATCTCGCACTCGAACGCTGACATCGCCCTGATCCGCATTCCCCATGTGGACTTCTGGCACATGGTCAACAAGGTGGAGCTGCCCAGCTACAACGATCGCTACAACGACTACAACGAGTGGTGGGCCGTCGCCTGCGGCTGGGGCGGCACCTATGACGGCAGCCCACTGCCCGACTGGCTGCAGTGCGCCGATCTCCAGATCATCCACAACTCCGAGTGCGCCAGCTACTACGGCACCGGCACCGTCGGCGACAACATCATCTGCGTCCGTGTCGTTGATGGCAAGGGCACATGCGGCGGCGACTCTGGCGGCCCATTGGTCTCCCACGACGGCAACAAGCTGGTCGGTGTCACCAACTGGGTGTCCGGTGCCGGCTGCCAGGCTGGTCATCCCGCTGGCTTCCAGCGCGTCACCTACCACCTGGACTGGATCCGTGACCACACTGGAATTTCTTACTAAACTTTGATAAAGTTTTGAAATAAATTGAAGTTGAACAGCAAGTTATTTGGTTGTGAAAGCTATGAAACTTTAGGAGCGTGTGGGATGAGGTGATGGCTGGGTTTTGGTTGCTAAAGAAGAACTTCTAAGGGGAACTATGACTAATTCCAAGATCTTTATAGATACGAAAAGAGGCTAAACCAATAGTGATAAATGCGTGTCGGATCGCTCGAGTGCTTTTGCGATTACTAATCATGACTTCCGATCGGAACCGAGAGCGGAGGTTCTTCAATTGAGATTTTTGTCTGGTAAAGCGAGTGCTCTACAAAGAGAGATTAAGATAGTACAAAGTAGAATCTGCTCCTGATAAACTCACTTTATTGATTACAATTTACGACTCCGCTGTCCGCCAATCTCCATTCATAAATATTTTCACCACAACAGGATGTGCAGTGCATCGCCTGCCAAGCAAAGCCTTTTACAATAAGTTGATATGTGCCTAGTCACACGATCATTGAGTATTCAGCTTCGATTCAGATTTATGTACTTGTTTATTGGTTTTCTTTTGGGTGCCTTTCAGCAGTTGAATTTATGCCCAGAGATTGCATGTAAAGTGGCGCTGAGTTTGCTTTTTTCTTAATACGAAAATTCATTTGTTTTGAATAAATTTGAAAATTGTAATCAATTTATGGGCTTGCAATCTGTTTATGTTTAAAGGTTAAGTGGAATGTACCTAATACTGGTTAAATTACTGGGATATACTGGTATATATAAATAAATACAAGAACAAATAAATCAAATATAAATATAAATAAAGCATTGACTGCACTGGTAACTAAGCGTGACGTCAAGTCTAAATGAAATCTACAACAAAATTTACCAGCCCTCAAGCTTGTTGCCATGAAACTACCAAAGCTGAGAGCTATAGAACTAACAAGGTTGGTTGCCATGGAAATAGTGGAACTAATACCCAAATAATCGAATTTGTTTGGGGGGACAATTTGTATAAACCGAATTGAGCCAAACAAATAGTTAAATAATTTAAAATTATAAACAAAACAGTCGCTGCAGCAGGTAACTGCAGCGGGTTGAATTTCCGTTGCTGGTGCCCCGCTTAAACGGTTCCTTAATCCACAATCATGTGAGTTAAGTTAGCAGTCCCTCCCAATACAATTGATGATCGATAGAAGATGTACAATATTTAAATACTCATTAAAATTATTACATCGAATTATGTCCATCGCTGGCGGTGTTTATTGTTGTTTCTTATCTTCGAACTAATCGCAAACCCAATACTAAAGGCAAATAAATATTAAACAATTTATTAATGTAATGCGGAATAATTATTCGCTTTACGGTGCTGCTGCGTCTTTGATGCCTTATGCAAGTTCCTTCTGTGTCTCTATCTCGCTCTCTCTCACTCACTCTTTCTTTGCCAGCCTCATTGTTTTGTTTGTGTGCTTTGCGCTTACCGTGTTATTTTTTCAAGTTTCATAGAGCATAACAACTTCAACAGTTGTTTGGACCACCGTCGGTAAGGTAACAAATTTAAGTGAGAATTTGCGTAGCATCTATTAACATTTTAAGATGCAACTTTATAGCTGTACTAAAAACATAAACTAAAACCAAAGACTAATACACGCAGTTCGCATACCTATGAAGGCATTTAGCAGCAATAAGCCGTCAAGGGTATCAAACGTTTCGGCACGCTAAAGCATGTAAATTTCTTCGTTTTGTGTATGCTGTTTGCGCCGAGCTGTTTGTTTTCTCACGCTTTGCATTGCTTTTCTTCCGTTTTGCTGTTACATCTTAACACATTGGCGCGACCTTGTCGCTTTTTGTGTAAACACAACGACAGCGTGTGATAATTTTGGGCAAAATACTGAGCGAATAAATGCCTTTCATTTCACACCCACACAGCCCGTTTTTGCACATTAAGGCAGCCAACAAGTGTGTGTAGTGCGTACAGCCAAAGAGAGTGACATAAAGAGAGCAAGCCAAAGAGAGAGTGACTGAGAGGTGGTTGAATGAAAAAGCAAATAATAGAAAGGGGAGTGAAGTGTAAAATAGCGAAGCAAAAGTCTCGTTTGCAGCACGTGCCAAAAAGCATTTATTTGCGAGCGAATATCTCTCGAGTACTCGTAGTGTCTGCGCAGTCTCAGTGAGTGTCAAACTGTGAGGCAATTGGCAAATAAACATTGCATACTTTCAGGCATATGCGGCGAACTGCAGTATTATCCGTGCGCCAGGCACCGCAGCAGGAACAACAGGACAACACAACGAGCCACAACGAATCCGCATTAGATTTCACACACAACTCGTGGTGTAAATATTTGCAGCTACAGCAATCAATACAGCGATGAGTCCAAGTGAGTGCAAGAAGTGCCAGAATATAAGATGAATCTTGAGTTGCTTCCCCCGCTACACAGCGTCAAAGTGATGACAAAAAACGCAAAAGTTCTCCAAGTGTGTGTGTATCCCTTATCTGTATGTGTATCTGTTGTGTGCTAGCCAAATGATTGCAATTTTAACGCTGACACTGCAACGCCTCAATGGAACTTGACACAGTCTTCCCCCAGGGCTTGCTTTTTCTCTCTCTGTGTGTGTCCCAAAGTGTCCTCGATTCGATACAACACTTGCACAGAAGTGCATATACGTGTGCACCCAATGCACGTCATTCGCCCTTCAACCATTCTACACTCGGAATATCCATTATATTTTATTTATATATATTTTTTATGTCCTTCAAAAGCTGACTCAACTGCATTCAAATTTAAATTTCTATAAATTTTCTATGGATATGCACAAGCATGCAGTCGTTAAAAGCTATTACGAGTTGACGTGAGAATCATTTTAGTTTTTATGATGGGACATTTTTCAAGTTATTCTAATTTATTGAAGCCACTGCAGTATTCGTTTTCACAGACATCAAAGTGTCAATTAAATTAGTTAAAGGTGCGAAATGGAGCAAAGCCTCGGTCGAGTGTCGTGCATAAAAGTGAGACTTTGAGATGAATCAATTCAGCTACAGTGAAAGTTCTTTAGATAAACAATAATCATAGGCATAGACATTTGCTCTAGCTAATATTCAAGCATTTTATCTCATGTGTTTCCGGTTTGTGCTTCAAATTAAATGAAATTTTAAGCGCGCAGAGACTCGTACATAAAAATCATACATCATTATCGCTACCCGCAGAACTATAGTCCACAAAAGCAACCGAAGGCCATGCCTAAGCAAGATTTTTCATTCGATCGGAGGGGGTGTACCACAAAAACAGCTTTGCCTGTGGTCGGTCCACAGTGTATAAAAAAATGTGTATAATTATATTTGGACAGCTGTAAGGCTCATCTCATGCAATAGACAAGTTAAATCTAAACAATGATATAACACGATAATGCAAAAATGAAAAACTAATGAGCGACGCAGCAGCGCTTCGTGATCGATGGATGCCGAACACAGCACACCAAACACAACACAGAGAAGACAGCAGCAGCAAAGCACAGCAGACCCACGGCAGCACTCAGCAAGCAAAGCCAAACATCGTTTCCCCATTCACACTTGCGAACGATTCGCCGTCGAGTGCGGTACCGCTACTGCTGCTGATGTTTCGCTTTCGATGCAGCTAAGCGCGGACACTGCAATTCGATTAATTTCATTTTCCCCTCAGTGGGCCACAGCCAAGGTTAACACCCAACGTTTTTATTTATATTCCCTCTTGACGGAACAAGCGTTCTGGGCAGGGAAAGTGCCAAGAGGAAGTCGCTCCGTAAACATAGCAAACCATATGGGCACAAGGGCAGTCTTCAATTGTTTAAATAAAATAATAAACAAATAAATGAATTGGCACATGCCAGAGTTATCCAGTGAACAAAGTGCAACAATCCACAAACCAAGAATTTGTTTACAAAACGGAAATATCATGAATGAATCGGAGAACGAATGCAAAGTTTAGAATACGAATCTTGTTTGTGGTTCGTTTGGCGTGTCAAGGAACTCATTGGTCAGCAATTTCCGCTTAATTGCAGTGTCGGATGCCACAACAGCTGGATAGGATAGAGTTCGAGCAGAGTCAGCTTTGAAATATTAATCATTGCCATTGGGTAAGTCCTCCCTTTGCTGTCACTGGATATACACAAATGTACTGTTTGCAGTCACACTTGAGAACTATCGGCCGGAGAGGGCGACTGCATGTTATGGCTGACAAACGTTTACTCTGCGACACCGCAGAGACGGAGCGGCTGGTCTTGCATATGGCCAAAGGTTCAAGGGGTCGATCGCTGCCTTGGAGCTGCCTGCTGCGCAGGAAATCGCTACTCGGACTTATTGTAGCGCTAATCTTCTGCTACTTCCTGATCGGTCGGCCGGAGTGGGTGAATGTGCTGGACATAGATGCGCTGCACAACGACAACTACTACACGGTCCATCATGTCTCCGATGTGCCTGGCATGGATGGTGAGTGTCGCCAGTCGCATGTCGTTTCTGTTGCTTTTTTTATGTTTTTTTTTTGGTTTCCGTTTCTGTTTGTTTATCCTTTATGTTGTGTTTCCTGTCGTGTGCCCGCTGTGTGTGTATCCCGTGTAGAGCTGATTGAAAATGTTCCTTTTGTGCCGAAAGGCTTCCTCGTGTACAGCAATTCCTGCCAGATCAAAGAGGTCGATCCGTACAAGGCCGAGGTGATGCGCCACTTTAAGCGCGTCAAGTACGTGCCCTGCAAGAAGCTGCCGCCTCTCACCAACGTGCAGTTCAATGAGCAATCCCAGAGCTATGTGCTCAGCATCAATGGCACAGCATTCACGCGCTACAATGTGGGCTCGTCGATCTATTGCTGCTTCATGGAGGTGCATCGTGTGAACGAGACGGAGGTGTCATATTCGAAGTGCCAGCGCTTCATACACAAGGCAGTGCTGCCCAACACGGTGGAGGGCATCATTGTGAAGTGCACTTCGGATGCTGGAGAGATCTACATCAATGGCCATGCCACGATACCCGTGAAGAAGTCCGTGCAGCAGCGACTGAAGAAAAAGGAGCAGCAGCGGCCTCCCAGCGTGCTCATGCTCGGCATCGACAGCATCTCGCGTGCGAATCTCATACGTGCCATGCCCAAGACAGCGCAGTATTTGTACGACAATGGATGGTTCGAGCTGGCGGGCTACAATAAGGTAACATAAACCACCTCCAAGTACCTAAAGAACATCCTCTAATCTCTCACTCTCCTTCCTGTTAGGTGGATGACAATACGTTTCCCAACATCATGGCCCTGGCCACCGGCTACGATTTGAAGAGTGCGAACAAGGAGTGCTCTCCGTACGAGGTGGGTGGCCTGGAGAAGTGCAGCTTCATTTGGAATCTCTACGAGCAGCATGGCTATGTGACAGCCTACGGTGAGGATGCCATCAAGATCAACACGTTCAACTACCTCAAAGAGGGTTTCGTCAAGCCGCCAGTGGACTACTATCTGCGGCCATATCTAACCGCTGCCGAGGACAAGCTGCAGCGCACCATAGTCATGGGACTGCCGCACTGCCTGGGCTATGAGACAGCCGCGGAGCATGTGTACGACTATGCGCTGGAGTTTACGCGTCGCTTCCTGAACGACACCTACTTTGGCTTCTTCTGGACGAACACGCACAGCCACAGCGACATCTCGCAGACGAGCAGCATGGACGCGTACATGGTGCGGTATCTGGAGCGTCTGGTGCGCCAGGGCACGATGGACAACAGCGTGGTGGTGTTCTTTAGCGATCACGGGCTGCGTTTCGGACCCACGCGGAGCACCTGGTCGGGGCATCTGGAGGAGCGACTGCCTGCGATGTTTATATGGCTGCCAGCAGGTCTGCGGCAGACACAGCCACAGCTCGTTGAAGCGCTGCGCCTGAATCGCAATCGTCTGACCACGCCCTACGATCTGCACATGACGCTGAAGCACATACTCGCCATGTCCGGGCGAACGAATGGCCTGGAGTCCCTGGGAACAGCGCCCTCCTGCCCGCAGTGCCAGAGCCTGCTGTTGCCCGTGCCTGAGCAACGTTCCTGTGCGGATGTGGGCATCGAAGATCACTGGTGCACCTGCTGGTCGTATGACAAAATCTCCACCAGTTCCAAGGAGACGCGACTGCTAGCGATGCGCGTTGTCAGCCACATCAATCAGTTTGTGCACAGCTTCCGCAACGGAACGCTGGCCAAGCTCTGTGCGCCGCTCACGCTGTCCGTTGTCAAGTCCGCCTATCAGGCACACCGCAATGCCCTCGATCCGGAGAACATGCGAACGGTACGCCTGACGTTGGTTGCATCGCCCAGCAATGGCCTGTTCGAGGCCACGGTGCGGCACAATCAGACGGACAACAGCATGACGGTGACGGGTTCCGTCAGTCGCCTCAATATGTACATTAACGAGTCGGACTGCATACAGGATTCGGCTGCCAAGAAGTATTGCTATTGCTGGAAGCACAAAAAAGGATAGTTCAGATAGGAGAAGAGTTAAAAGTTATTCAAGCTAGCCCCAAGTGCCGTTAAACAGATTCGAATCTGGTATATTACCTGATAATAAACATGTAAATAGATTGCTTAAGCTAGTCGTAGTTGTGCTAGCCCCATTGGTGGGTTTCCATTGTACATAAATAATAGATAAACTTCATGTATATATAACTCTATCCATATAGTAGATTGATTCTCCTGTAGTATGCTCTTAAGTGAATCTCTTGCCAAACTAAACTTAATTTAATAAGAAGTTAGAAACACCCGTTGGATGTTTATGTCTCGTTAGTGGCTAATAGCGAGTGTCCACGGTCTGGTAGTGTCTTTAATCTTGTTACTCTTTGTTAATAGTCCAATTTCATAAATTAAAAGCGAGTCTCAAATACATATATCAAAATATATACACTCATTGTGTTTGCACTACGAATCCACTGTGCCCACGCTGCAAATATCCCACTTACGCAGTTTTTCCTGGAAAGTGTACTTCGACAGCAGATCCTTCAGTGCCTTGAAGAGCTTTGTAATCGAGCCTTGTCGCTGCATTTCATGGATGTGCTCAGGGCACGCTTCCACCGCCAGTTCCAAGTTCTTGTAGTCTTCGGTGGAGCGTAGGGAGAAGTAGCCCTCGAAGCTAACCGCTTGCTGTGGCTTGCCGCTGCGCGTCTTTAGCATCTCGACAGTCTGCTGCTTGTGCATGTCAAAGTACTGGCCCGGCTGGCTCAGCTTACTGACGCGTCCCGTCCAAGTGTCCACTGTGCTACGCATCAGCCATTTGTGGTAGCACGGATCCTGTGAGTCCACCAGCTCCAGGTCAAGCGCAAAGATCTCCGTTAGGACATGCTTTATGGTATCTACATAGCAGAGCAGCCAGTAGTAATAAATCGTTTGGTTTTCTTCAATGTTTTGGCTGAGCAGCACGGGGCGCAAGCTCTTGAGATCATTCTTGCTGGGCTGGATCAAGTGCGTGCGCTTTGTTTCCGGCAGGCACGCAGGGACATCCAAGCTGATTTTCTCATCATTCGGTGCATCCTTGACGTCTCCTGCTTGCGCCACTTCTAGTGGCTGCTGTTTAGTCGTATTTGCTTCGTTTTCCATTTGCTGTTCTGTTGGAGCTGAATTTCCCTTGTACTTCTTGGCTGGCGTTGGCCGATACATCTTCTCCAATGCCATTTTGTCTCCCAGTCCGAAGAGCAGGTAATCATAGAGTTTTTTTGGCGCTGCTCGTAGCTCTCGATTCTTAAAAGCCTGTGCGGCCATATGCAGGCATTGTTTGATGTACAGAAAATCTGTTTGTGATATGTTCCTTGCCACATTCCTTGCCAGCTCGAAGGGATCTTGCACGCATACCGTACGATCCAAGTGAAATTTATCAGGCGCTTCGCCAAGCTCTTCCTGAAGGGCAATTAATTGCTCCTCGTACTCCGGAAAGCCGCCAGGAGTGGCCAAAGTTTCCACCTTGTCCACGGCACAGCCCAGAAACGGTGACAAAAGTTTCTTCTCGAAGTCTGTGCTGGTACAGAACGCAAAGAAGTCTCCGATTAAGTCAAGCGTGGACATCTGCGCAGGTAGTGGCGCCACTCGCTCCATGCTGTACGCGTAGTTGACTCCTTTGACAGTGATGGGTTCGACATGCGCCTGCAGTTCCCTGATGGATGGCAGCAAGTGGCGCATTTGAAGATTCACGAGAAGTACGCTGAACAGACAGTAGCTGCTCATGCCACCCATTCGAACGACTTTCACCTTCTTTCCCCAGATTTTGAGGAACAGCGCAAGCTGCCGCAGTTTGGGTTCGCGCAGCATTAGCTCTCGTATGAAGCGAGAGTTGAATGTGCTGTTGGGATTGCTCATATTGATGTCTATGTTGAGGCCCGTCACTTGATGCTTGCAGCGAATAATGGGCACACGGGCATGTCGAACGTTTATGATTTCGGTAAAGCTTACCGAACGGTGCAAAACTCTCAGCACCTTCTTGAAGAGCCGCTGGGGGCAGGTGACGTTGTCATCTGTGGACTTTAGATACAAGTCAATGTCGCTATCTAAACGAAGGAAGCAGAGAGAGGAGAGATATCTTTGGTTAAGCTGAAGACACACAAGGCAAATGGGAACTCACCCTCCAAGGCCAGTCCGGTGACCAGCGAGCCAAAGGGAAACACTTCCACTTTTAGTGCCTTTTCCCTCTCAAAGCAGTTGCGCACAGTGGCATAACAGCAATCGAGTCGTCTCAAGTCAGCCGCATAGCGATTTAATATTGTCTCCAGGTACTGTCCGTCCAGTGTCTTGTCCAGAGCCTCCTGCAACTTGCTGCGTTCGCTTTGCGTTTCTTCGCTGGTAAACTGCTTGGTCAGCGCGTTAATTTTCTTGCGAAATTTCTTCTGCGGCTTGTTTGTGTTCTTGTGCTTGTGCAACTCGTGGGCCAGGCAGTCTGTCGCATTCTTGAAGGGAGCAGCACACACCGTGCAGAATACCAAGCCGGTGGCACTGCCCCCTGGCTCCTGGCCGTCTCCTGGGGCCATCTCTGGAGTTTGCATTCCTTTTACAAGAGATTCCATGGGCGATATATTGCTCAACTGCACATTTCTCCGTTTTGTTTTTGCTATTAACAAAACTTACTTTTGTATTTGTTGTTTTTCGTGATTGGTGTCTATCGGTGTTTATGCAGATTTATCGATACGATTATTTATCAAATATACCGCATGAACCCTCGAAAAAATATACCGTAAATTCACCGAATACTACCAACATATTCCTCGATTTTTGGTGTTAGTGCAAACGTGTAGTTTCGAACACTGTTCTAAAAATTGTTATTGTTATTGTTATAAATATTATAATTTTTAAGTGAAATGAGGCTATTAGTTCTCTATGGCAGCCAAACCGGCACTGCTCAGGACGTGGCCGAGCAAATATGGCGTGAGTCGCGTCCACTGGGCTTCCACGGGCCGGTTCTTTCCTTCGAGGACTACGACATGCAGCAGCTCATCGAGGAGCGGCTGGTGGTGTTCGTGGTGGCCACCACGGGCGATGGTGTAGAGCCGGATAACATGAAGCAGGCCTGGCGATTCCTGCTGAAACGTAGCTTGCCAGCCCAATCATTGCAGGGACTGCAGTTCGCGTGCCTGGGTCTCGGGGACTCCAGCTATCCAAAGTTTAATTACGCCGCCAAGAAGCTAAGCAAGCGGCTGCTTAACCTAGGAGCCACCTCTGTGTGTCCACTGGGCTTGTGTGACGATCAGCACGACTATGGCCATTTGGGTGTGTTCCCCAGCTGGACAAGGGATCTGTGGACGTCACTAAAGTCATCCCTTGGCATAGACGAAAGCACACAGAACGGCGGAGCCAACAAGACTGTGAGCAAGTGGCTGATCAAGGAGCTACCTGGCTCTGTGCCCTTGACTGTGAGGCTGGAACGCCTTGCCTGGACACAGAAACAAAAGTGTCACACCTTCAAGCTGGTAGACAACGTGAGGACAACAGCGGAGAGTCATTTTCAGGATGTGCGCTTCCTCAGGCTCGAATCCTTGACTGAAAATCTCAGCTGGGAGCCTGGCGATGTGCTCGACGTGCAGCCGCAGAACAGCGATGAGGCGGTGAATGCATTTTTTGAGCTGCTGAGGGAACACAAACTGAACTTTGATGAGGAAACTGCCGTGGAGGTGCTGGCTGCCTACCCGGACATGCCGCTGCCCAAGGCCTTTGCCACGCCCATAACCCTCGCGCATGCAGCCAAATATGTGTGGGACCTGAACGCCAAGCCGAGGCAACGTTTCTTCGAGGTGTTGGGCCACAATTGCAGCGATGAGCTGGAGAGCGAGAAACTTGCCGAATTCTGCTCCGCCGAAGCCATTGACGATTTGGTGGCCTATGTGAATCGTCCACGGCGCAATGTGCTTGAGGTCTTGCAGGATTTCCGGCATGCGAGCTCCAAGCTGACGGTCTCGCAGCTTTTTGAGATGATGCCACTTATTCAACCGCGCAGTTTCTCCATCGCTTCGGATGTGTCCGCCTCCACGCTGGACTTGCTTGTGGCTGTGGTGCAGTACAAAACCATTTTGCAGACGCCGCGCCAGGGTTTGTGCTCCAACTGGCTGAAAAACTTGACACCAGGCGTGGAAATCTATGGCATTGTCAAGCGAGGCACAATGGTGTGGCCCAAGGATCTGGCAGTGCCACTGATTATGGTTGGACCTGGCACTGGCATTGCACCCTTTCGCAGCATCATTCAGCATCGATTGCATGCACAGTCGAAGGGCGCATGCATTGGTCCACTTGTTGTGTTCTTTGGCTGCCGCAGCAGAGCGGCAGATTTTCATTTCCAAGAAGACTTTGAAGCCTGGACTAAGGGCAAGCTGGTGGAGGTGCATTATGCCTTCTCTCGGGACGAGGATCGAAAGGTCTACGTGCAGCATCAAATACAGAAATGTGGCGAACGCTTGGCGCAACTAATCCTGGAGCAGAATGCACATATCTATGTGGCGGGTAATTCCAATAACATGCCCAAGTCAGTGCGCGAGGCGTTCATTGAGATCCTAGGCGGCCAGGGCGACTATGTGGATCTGATGATCAAGCAGCGAAGATATCAGGAGGAGACGTGGGCGTAAAGTCAACATGTTTAGCTTGTACTTTCGTATGTGTGTTCCTATTTGTACAATATTGGACGGAAATTATAAGTTAAATCTATAAAAGAACGAACGAACTTTAGTAGTTGCTCAAAAGTCTTCCAGCAGCTTATCCGAGGATGTGTGACAGAACGGACAGTAGCCCTTCTGCAGCACCTGCAGCTCAAAGTCCTCGGCATAGAAGAGCTGCAAAGGAAGTTATTATATGTGTGCCTCTATTTGCTCTGTGGATAATACTTACCAGCAAACACTGCGGACAGTAGGTGACCTGCAGATCGGGCAATATATTGCGATAGTAAACATTTCGTATGTTCTTGCCCTGCCTCTTGAGTATCAGCACATGATTGGGATCTATGGCACGCAGGCCATTCCGATCCAAACTCAAGGGCAAAGCACTGGCCACATCCTCGTTGAAGGGATCCGAATCCTCCACATGCTTGGCTGGAGCCAGCAGCAGACGCTCAGCCTCGGCATCCGATATATCCACTTCGGGATAGAATTGTACTAAGGGTAGAATTTCTAAAGGGAAACAAAATTCAATGGTTGCCTGATGGAAGCCTAAATTCACATACCAAATGAAACAAATGAGAATATGTAATCCTGCCTGCAGGTGGGGCAGCAATTGTTGTTCAAATGTTGACTGTAGTTGGAGCACTTGTAGCACAAAGGCAGCAGCTCCTCGGGATCATTGAAGCCGCTCTTGCATGCTTTGCTGTTTAAGAAATTTAACTGCAAATCAAATTAAAGTTAAAGCCTCGATTTCTGTCTGTTTTGCTACTCACATCAATCTGCTCTTGCACTCCAGCTGGTGGTTTGAGTGACTGCAGTCGCTTGTTGATCAGCAAACACAATTTATTGGCCTGCAGGAACTTTGCCTGCTTGGCCAAAGTAAACAGCACAGAGCTGGAAAGGATGATACAACAGATGAGCAAAAGAGACACATCAATCAATTGGTTTTAATGCCTTACAACATGCTCACACCCTTGGGCACGCCCTTGTGCTCCACTTCGTTGAGTATAAAGCGGCTGACATTGAAGAGACTCACGGGCGAGTGTGTGGTGAAAGGTTCCTTCATGTAGCTATAGATCACGGCATACGCATAGTACACCTTGGCAATGCGCAAATGATTTTTATACTCCGCCAAATTGTGATCTATGGGATTCTGGTCACTGCAAAGTAAGAGAAGATTTAGGATCTGTTGTGTGTGGCAGCAAAGAATAATTATAATAACCCACTCCTTGGCATGGTAAATATCCAATGATTGCTTGGCCAGCAGCCAATAAAAGTAACTCGCATCCAGATAGCGCTCCTCCACAATTGCCGTGATGCTCAGCTGCTTCAGCAGGCGATTGGCTTCCTTGGTGCGTCCCGCCTTCAAATAAGCTAAAACAAATAAAAGAAAAGTAAGAACTGCTCTGGCTTCCATTGTGGACTGAGACTCACCCTGATGTGCCTCTATAAACTGATCCGTTTCGGCCAGCCATTGCCCGTGCTGATAGTGCACCGTGGGCAGCAGCTGTGGCAACGATTCCGCCAGTCGAAACGCCTCCGGCCAGTCACGCACCTCCACGTGCAGCTGCACCACTTGTGCCTCATCGCCGAGCTTCTTGAATATTTCAGCAGCCAGTGGCAGGGCTTTTAGAGTCTTTAAATTCTGCGCCACCGATTCCAAGGCAACGCGTTCACTCAGGCTAAGGCGACGTCCGATATCGTAGAGACTAAAAGCAGACAAAATAAAATCAGTAAGTAGTCAGGGGGATCCACCGGGAGCTACTCACACATCTGCCCAGCCCTGCTCGGCTACGATGTCGATGGCCTTTTGATTCTCGCCAGCAGAAAGCAACAGCTCGGCCGCAGCACGCGGCTCCTTCACGGAGTACGCCCATTCCGCTCGCTTGCGCACCAATTCGTTTTTCTCCTGCTCCGTGCCATCTCGGAGGTACTCCTGGGCCAGATCGAACATGCGCAGATCGGTGTACATCTCGAGGGCACGCGATGATTGTCCACATTTGAGAAACAAGCGAGCGGCCTCCTTGAATTTACCTGCAAAGGCAGAGTTCTCGCCCAAGAGCACCTCCTTGGGCACAGCCGAACGTTGCTGCTGGTCCCGCAGTTCGCTGATCAGCTTGAGCCACGGCAGATTTCTCACCTTGACGTATGCATCGCGGGCTATATTAATGTGCAGCGCTTCCAGCGCGGATTGGGCCAGACCCTCCCAATCGCTGGTGGTTACGCCCAAGCAGGCCACCTGATAGGCTTCCTCAAACAGGCCCGCCTCAATGAACTGCCACATGGTGGAGCCCAAGGCCAGCGGAGTGTTGTGCATTATATTCCCACGCAGACAAAAGGCCGTGGCCCCACACAGTCCCACCACCACGCCGTGCATATTCTGCGGCGCACGTGGAGGCAAATTTCCAACTCGCACACTCAGGCCGCCCGTGGTGTGGGTGTAGCAGAGCATCGTGTCGAGATGTGTGTTCCAGGTGACGCTGTTCACGCCCGTATCCTGATAGAGTATCGTGTCATTGACAATATCCCGCACCACCAGTCGTCCCACATCATCCACGACAGCGATTTTGCTGCGTTTGGCATTGATGTCTAAGCAGCGCACCGCTGACACTGCCGTCGTGATCAGCAGCGGCAGGGAATTGTTCAGAAAGATGCGAAATACTTGGCCATTCTTCAGGCCCACCATCAGGCCTTCACGGCCCACTGGGCCGCCCGTCACCTTGATGTAGCGTATGAACGAGTCCATAATCCACTCTCGCTGTAGGATGCCACTGAAATCCAGGCACTGCAGGCGCTTCTCCTGGCACAGAACAATGTGGCGACCGCAGACCACCAGCAGGCTACAGTCAAACTTCTGTTGAATCTTCTCCCTGACCTTGTAGTGCATCGGTTGATCCTCCCTCGAGCTCAGCTCGTACAGAACCACACGCTCTGGCAGCTGCACAGCCAGACGATTGCGATAGATGGCGATTTTCTGCACCAGATCGCGGCACTTGATGCGCACCTTTTGGCCAGAGATCAGATGCTGAATGATCACATCGCACATGTTCTCCCTAAAGGCGTAGCGTTCCCTGTACAGAGCGTGCACCGTGCTCGAGGCAATGTTGAAGCAGGCCAGCGTGCCATCCTGGCAGCCAATAGTGTACGACTGCCCATTCGGATGCAGTGCCACGGACCATATCCACGTGTCGAAGCTGTCGCCCAGGGTGCCCAAGCGTATGCCCTCGCGCGTGAAAAAGTGCAGGCCGCCCGTGCAGCCGCCAACCAAGCAGAACTCTCCATTGGGAAAGTATTGCAGGCAAAGCGGATCGAAGCCCAGGGTTCGCTCCTTGCCAATCATTTGACCGCTGAGCGTGTGGAATGACAGGGTCTGGCTCCAATCCACCACGGCAATGGTGTCCACACTTCCTGGCCCCATTGCTGGGCAGCATTGGACACTGAAAACATTGCTATTGGGCCCGCCCGGCCGATCGATGCGTCCCTTCTCCTCGCCCAACTTGTTGCGTATAGAGATAGTTCCATTGGCCAGGCCCATGATGAGATACTGGCCATCGTTTGTCCAGGAGCAGCCATTCACACGTGCAGATATTTTGTACTTTTGCACGGCCTTTTGATCCGCCGACCAGAAAGCAAAATCCGACATCGAACAGGAGGCCAAGTGGTGCGAAACCGGATTGAAGCTCATGCATTGAATGGAATCGCCGTGACTGTATGCAAAACAAGAGTTGAGACCTGGAAATCATAATAAGTGTCCACCACTTACGAGTACTTGAGTATCCCTTCCAGTTGCGGCGACCATACAATGACCATTTTATCCGAGGCACCGCTGGCAAAGCGTTTGCCATCGCGTGAATATGCCACACAGTTCACCGTGTCCTTGTGTGCCTTCAGCGTGTTCAGCAGGGAACCATCGGTGGGATCATAGATGAGTATACGATCGCCAGCGGCGACCACCAATTGGCTGCCATCCGGGGCGTAGCAAACGCTGTGAACGCTGCAAAAACGGGTTTTTACAGTTAAATCAACAGGTTGCTGGGTTGGAAAGACTCTACCTGGTCTCCCCATCCTTGGTGCTGGGGAACTCTATGCGTTCCAACCATTTGAGGACGCCACGCATTTTTGCACAGCCGAAAAGATTCCTATTTTACTGCAGCTTGCATAGTATAGTCCGTGAAAATGTTTTTCTTGATTTGTTTACAAGCCGCGCTTCCATGACAACGAGAAAAAATTCACTTTTCAACACTGATGGCTATCGATAGGTGAGTGTAATATCGCTATCGGTGGATTTACAAGTGTTTTTGTTTTTCTGTACATTTTAATTCAATTTAAGCTAATTTAGCTTGTTTGCAGTAAAATGAACAACCTGGACAGTTCACTGCAGGCGCACAACAAATTGGAGAAGGTAACAACAGTTGTCATACCTGCGCACATATTTACAGTGAACTTTCTCATAGGAAGCAACCAATTTGGCACTGCTGAAAGACCGAGTGGACAAGTATCATGATCTCTCCACGCAAATGTCCAGCATTCTTACCGTCTTTGAGAAGCGACTGGGTAATCTAGAGCAGACTATACTGCCAGTATATCAGGAAACAGAGCAGCTACAGAAACGACAGCAAAGTAAGATCCTTGTGCAAAACCAAACACATCAATATCTAATTGGTCACCGCCTCTTTTCAGATCTAGAGGCTACACTCATCTGCCTGGAGAGCGTGCTCTCGCACTACGATGTCTCGCAGGAGGTGTGCCAGCTTATACATCAGGGGCCGGTGGAGGGAAGCATTTCCGTGTTTCTGGAGGCGCTGGCCAAGCTGCGCGCCGCCATGGACTACTTTTTGCACAACAATTCGCAAAGTGTAGAGCTAGAGAATGTGACCAGTCTGTTCAACACCGGCTGCGAGGGCCTGAACCAGCACTACAGCATGCTGCTGAAGAAGCACAGTGCCCCATTGAAGCCAGTGGAGCTGCTGGATCTCATCTATATCGAAGATGACTCATCCAGCGATGAGTACACGTCCTTTCGCCAACTGTCGCAGACCACCCGCGAGGAGTTGTACACGATTTCGCACTGGCTGGAACAGAACATGCGGGAGTACACACACATCTATGCCACGGAGAGGGGAGATGTGGTGCTGCGGTCGCTGCAGCTGTTAAAAGATCATCAGAAAAGCAACAGCTGGGGCCACGAAGCTTTGGTGAGTACCGTAACCGAGTACAACTCTGCATTCTATGACATTTCGTGCAACGGGACTACTTCGAAAAAGCTGCGCAGTGCTCTTGGGCGCCGCCATTGCCATTTAATCAGCGTGTTCTTGCCGTACCGTATCATTGTCCAAGTGTAATTTTTATTAAATTAAATTGTGAACAAAAATGGAGGAATGCCGCACACCCACACACAAAAGCCAATTCAACTTTAATCTCACTCCCACGATGAGGTGGAACCACCTGAATGTGAACACATCGAATGTGCGCTGCTCCACGCCCATCACGGGCGCTTTTCGTTCGCCGAACATGTCGCCCATACAGAGTATGCGCGCCCTGAAGAGTCCCGCAAAGACCATGCTGGCGAAGACCTTCAAGAAGCCGCCGCTGAAGAAATACATGCATCACATGCACCGCACGGAGATCACAGCCCCAGTGGTCGTACTATCCAAGAGGAAGGAGGATGGTGCCGAGCGGGAGCAAAAGTGCAACAGCAGCTCGGACACCTTCTCCGATGATTCGAATGTTGAGACGTCGCTGTGCCGCGAGTCGCGTCGTCGCTCCATAATGGCCTCCAATCACTCGTACGTGTTCAATCACGGGGCCAATGTGGAGCAGGTGCTCGTGCATGTTGGCCTGGAGCAATATGTGGATAACTTCGAGAAGGCTCACATTGATCTGGTCGATCTGGCCTCCATGGAGAGGGATGATTTGAAGAACATTGGCCTGTCCACTGATGAGGACTGCAATCGCATTTTGGATGTGCTAAAAGCACTCTAAGGGATTGCCCTAAGAGATCGCTGGCGTATCCATAACAACTTTACCTTAAGATTTTAATATGTGTTTTATGTACCACCCCAAAAATAATCAAATAAATCTGTATGCAAACCTTCAGAGAATGAGAATTAATTTGTGTTTTCCTTTGTTTTAAAAACAAATCAATTTATTATCGTACATCTTGCAGAGACCTCGACACGGTGGACGTCAAGCGGAGCCCAAGAAGAACACCTCCGCGCGTCTGCAGCAAATGTAATTAGTTTATCCATTCCATTGCTTGAGTTTAACTAATTCTCACAATACCTTATCTGCAGCTTCGAGAAGAAGGCCAACAAGCTGTATTTGCGGGCAACACAAACCATTGAGCAATCAACTGGATTCTCCATTAAGAAGGCTTCATCCCATTCGGATCACTTGACCTCGGAGGATCTGCTGGATGGGGACCAGGAGCTGGACAAGTATCTGGTCATGCTGCTCGGTCTGCAGCGGCTGCTCAACTGGGAGCGTGCCATTATGCACGACATTATACCGCAGTCGAAGCACAACGAGGTCTTTGCTCGCCTCGCCTACAATGCCATCGAGCTGGTGGTCAAGGATGCAGAGGCTATTACCCAGCGCATAATGCGCTGCATCTCACGCAAGGAGTGGACCTCGGCACTGGGCATATTCTCGGCGCTGAAGCGTGTCATACTGCTGCAGCCCGACATTGAACGCACGTACGATCCCGCGCAGCGTGAACAACTGACCAAAGTGCTCAACAAACTGCAGCTTACGGGCGCCAAGGCATTGGAGCACTTCCTGGAAGTGGTCAAGGGCGAGTCGAGCACAAACATTGTGGGCCAGAGCAATGTGCCCAAAGATGCCACCGTTCACGAGCTGACCTCCAATACAATTTGGTTCATTGAGCATTTGTATGAGCACTTTGATGTAATTGGCTCCATACTGGCACAGGATGTGCTCTACTCCACGCAGCTGGACACCATACTGATGAAGAAGTCGTTGCCTGGCGAGGAGCGCAACAAGGCTCTGCTGGCCATCTACATAAGTGAGTGGAAATGGCAAACGAAACTCCATTTTATGTTCTTTACTTTCCGTTTTTGCAGAGAAAGCTCTGGCGGAATTGAATCTGTCGATTATGAACAAGTGCGAGCAGTACAACGATCAGGCCACCAAACATCTCTTTCGCTTGAACAACATTCACTACATCCTCAAGTCCCTGCAGCGCTCGAACCTCATTGATTTGGTCACGCTGGCGGAGCCGGATTGCGAGCACAGCTACCTCGAAATGATACGTGAGCTGAAGGCCAGCTATCAGAAGACCTGGTCCAAGATGCTGCAGGGCATCTATTCTCTGGATGAGCTGCCCAAGCCAGTGGCTGGCAAAGTCAAGGACAAGGATCGCAGTGTGCTCAAGGAGAGATTTTCTGTATGTATAATGAGGATCTCCACTCTTGCTGCTGCTGCTCCATAAACTGTTACATTTTCTTTGCTAGAACTTCAACAAAGACTTTGAGGAGGCCTGCAAAATACAGCGTGGCATCTCCATACCCGATGTGATACTTCGCGGGGGCATCAAGCGTGACAATATGGAGCACATTCTGCCCAAATACAATCGCTTCTTTGAGATGTAAGCTTGGGGTTTTGATGCTGATTTAAGAGACTTTCCTCATGCTTTGTTCTTATAGGTATGCCGCTGTGCAATTTAGCAAGAATCCCGACAAGTACGTCAAGTACAGGCCGCATGAGATAAATGCCATGCTGAGCAAACTCTTCGATGACTCCGCCTAGACTTCCTTTGCATTCCGTAAGTTCGTTCGGGGGTTTTAATGCAAAACTCAATAAATATCGCTTTAAAAAAATACAATACAAGACTATAGCCTACAAATATTAAATGCCAAGTGAAACTCGAAGGCGTCACGTTGCTCCGGCTAATACAGGAAATTAGTGGAGGGCGCCTCGGGGCGTCCACAGGCGCCATAGTGCTGCACATCCACCGTGCTATTGGTGCGACAATTCTCAATGTCCAGGAAGCAGTCGTTCAGATATGTCTTATTGTCGCTGCCGCACACGGGCTCGAACTCCCTCGGACAGATGCGTGCACAACCCTTGAACTGGAAGGCGGCCAGGCAGCGCTTGAGGGGCACCACAAAGACATGCTTGCCGCAGTTCTCCTTGCGCATGTGACACTCGGACTTGTAGAACCTGTTGTCCGATCCGCACACGAAATTCGGTGGCTGCGCATCGCAATCCGAGTCACAGTCGGCAGTCAGGGCGCAGTTCTTCAGCGAAACGGCCACCACGCGCATGTGGCAGGTGCGTCGCTTGAACTCGCACAGCGAGGCAAAGGTGTTGCCATCGGAGCCGCACACCGGCTGCTGCACGAGGTCCGCACGAGTGCAGGCATCGCCGCAATCCTTGCTGGGCGTATTCAGATCCGTGCAGGGACCAATGTGCGCCAGATTCACGCCGCGTCTGCAAGGAAGCGTTGGGATTAACTAGGAAACTGAATGGGATTATTCCTGATACTTACAGGCAGGTGGCATGGGCAAGCTCGCATTCGTTGTTGTAGGTTTTGGCGTCTGTGCCGCACAGCTTGTCGTTTCGCGTGGAGCTGAAGATGGAGCCAAAGAGATTGTTAAAGTCCTTGCAGGGCGGCAGCTGCTTGCAGCGAATCAACCGATTCTTGCACTTGTCCATGCTCATCTTCTGTATGGACTTGCGCTGTGGCCTGGAATAGGAATTACTCCATTAGCAGGCAAAAACCGCTGCAGGTTTAATGCTGACACTTACCCGCAGTTGAGCATCTTCAGCTCGCACAGGGAGGAGTAGATGTTGCCATCGCTGCCGCACACATATTGCGAGGGGGAGTCCGCCGAGGTCTTGGGGCAATCGGTGGGACAGGCATCCGCAGCATTGCCATGCCGCTCCTGGGTCATGCAAAACGAGAGTGGCACCTCGAACACATGCTTGCCGCAGTTGGAGGAGCGCATCTTGCAGGGGCTGGCATAGAGGCGTCCATCGGAGCCACAGGTGGGTCTGGCCACGCGCCAGCAGGACTCGCGGCACATCCGCGTCGACTGGCAGTGCTTGCGGCTGGTCTTCACCACGCCCTGGCCGCACGTGTGCAGCTTCATCTCGCACGTGGAGTTGTACACATTCCCATCGGAGGCACAGATGGGTCCGTCCTTGGGTGCGCTGTTGCAGTCCACGGGACAGGATTCCCGTACGGCGCTCGTGTTGCTGCAGGGACCCACATGCGAGAGTTTGACGGCAGCCAGTCCCACGCGACAGGACTGTACACGCAGCATGCAGCGATTCAGATAGGTGCGACCATCGGTGCCACACACAGGATCCTTCTCCGTGCTGCAGCGATGCTTGCACTCCGAGCCCTTCGACCGCTCACAGCCCTCCCGCTCGTCCTTCACCAGCGACAGGCCATTTCGTGTGCACGTCTTCTTTCGCAGTTCGCAGATGTTTGCATAGATCAAGCCATCGCTGCCGCAGACCGGCTCTGCACCCACCGTCAGACTAGGCGGACACGATCTCGGGCAGCTGTTGTTGGAGCTGCTGGCACGATTCTGCCTGCCCATCTGCGCCTGCTGCAGCTGTTCGGTCTCCTCGCGCAACAGACTCTCTAGAGCGGCGGCTGCTGCTCCTGGTGCCTGCATCAGCGTGGACGACAGCTCGGGCTGCGCATCCTGGCGGTAGTTGATCAGCAGCGAGTCCGGCGAGGCATCGGCACTGCGGTAACGTATGACAGGCGCCTGTGCGGGCAGCTTGATGATCTTAATGGGAGAGTCTGTGACGGCGCCTGAAGGTGAGAGATATAAGAGGGAAGATTTATGAAGTATTTCCAGCATTTGCAGGGTATCAAAGCTGCGTCTGCTATGAGTAAAGTCTGCTCTTTGGTCGCATACGGAAGAGACATTGTGCGGCATACAAATTTAAGATTAGCTTCAGTCCGAAGAACATTTTGCGCAGTTGTGACCCACTGTCTAGCTGAACTCTTACTCTGTCTTCCACCGCCGCCGCTCAATGATCGCATGACCGACTCATGTAACCCCCCATTAACCGGAATAATTTGGGAGTTTATGGAGTTGCTCTGCAGAGCCATTGCCGTTGTAGGGCGGGAGAGGGAATTCTTCTTCGTTAACGGCAAACGGCACATGGGAAATGGCAAATGTTGGCCCCGAATGAGTCGATTCCAAGTACAATAAAAAACACACCACACCGCACACACAATGGAAATTTTGGAAGAAATTGTATGTGCTGGGGGAGGGATGGCGGTACAGCTGGTACTATCAGCGACCTCCATCTATAATTGTGTTCATGCTAATCCCCGCCAGAGATCGTAAGCTTAATCTGTGCTAAAAACTGCAAGTGAAATTTTCACACTAATTGCCTCCGGCCGACGGTTCGGACTTGGACTTGGACCGCGCAATGCCGCACCGAATGTTTCTGTTGTCTTTGGTCGGATGTGGCTCCGTTGGTTTTGTTTGTAAAGAAAGCGACGGCGATGCCGCCTCCAGTTTTGGGTACAGAGGAAGACGATGCCCACACACAGACGGGGCACACGCCACAGACGGAGACGAAGACGCAGAGTAGAAAATCTATTAGCGCTCTTTGGGGCTGGCTGCGATTGTTTGACTGCGATAATTGAACCCACGTCCATTATTCCAATTTGTTTGAGATGAGAATTTCAACATTTTCAACATTCAAACAAAACGCAGCAGACATTCTACGCTTAATGGATGGATGGACGGGGCAGCGCAGCCTTCGTAGTGGCTATTAAAGTTGGAGAAAATTAAGCGGCGTTAGGGAATTAATGCAGATGTAAACGATCCACGGGATAGACAGACATTCATTTGGCATTAAAAACAAAGCAATGTGAGCCCCAACCCCATGCTTTAGTACATTCCCTAGCCAATTCCTATGCCCATACCCACATTTCCTTCTCCATCACATTCTCCTGCTGCTGCAGCTCCTCCTTGTCCTGCCTATCGGATGCCATCAATTGCAAAAAGAGAAAAAAAAAAGAGCGAAGCACAAACCGTATAATTTTCAAAAGTGGAAAAAGCCACCAACCAACGCATTGCATTGCCCTGGGCCGAGGTTTGCTGCTGCTGCTGGTAGCTCATGGACATGGACTCTGGCGAGAGACATGATATGTGAGCTCTGATGCTGCTGCTGCTGCTGCTACCCCCCCCCCCCCCCCCCCCCCCCCCCCCCACACACACACTAGCATCATGGACACGGGCAGCACAGTGGAAAGCAAACTCTGATCAATCGTAGAATCATAACCATAGCCATGCCATTACACATGAATCACTCTTCAAGTGATTTCGCAATTGATCAGTTGATCAGGCACCATTCTCTCCCAGCCCCATTCAATCAAATCAAAATATATACTCCGGGGGCTAATTGATCTTTCACCCATCAATCTCTGATGAAATTCTGATATCAATTAATCGAAGAAACGATCATGACGAGCTCTGAACAGGCAAATCACTTGGGCAACGCTCTGCGTTCCGCTGTGGCTTCGAGGGTTCAACTCAATATGAACGCCCCTTTTACCCTCTGCAGAGGAGGCAATTTTCCGCTCCTTTCCACTGTGCGTGCTCCCTAGCCATTTCCCTTCGTACTCGCTTCCCTTCTCTGTGTGCCGGAGCATGCCTTTAATGAATTTATTTGAATGTTGGACAAATTGTGCACGAAAATATTTACGAGCATGTTGTGCGTGGTCTGTACGGAAAGGGGGGAGCAGTGGCACAGGCAGAGGGAAGTGCTTGAATGTTTTGGGTAGCCTCTGTAGTTACATATGTACACACTCGTACTCGTATGTGTGCCAGTTTCCATTCACTTTGTGGCGCTTTCCGCACTCTGGTACCTTAGAAATTAATAGCTACTCGGACGATGGCTACGACGGCACCTTTCTACCAGCACAGCACCTTCCCTATCCTGCACACCTCCCAGCTTCGAGGAGGCTTCTTTCTGGAAGGAAACCACTTTTCCTGCAAGTGCAGCGTATGAGACTTACCATTAGCGGTGGATGCCGTCAACATTAACATGGCAAGCAGTGCGCCAAACAGCTGGCGCTTAAGCCTTAACTGGGGATGTAGCTGACTCTGGCACTGGGCCTGGGGCCTTGTCTGTCTCTGGGGCTGGTACATTTTCACTGTCGACTGCACTTTCCTGCTGCTGCTGTCTGGCTGTAGCTCTGGCTGCTGCTGCTGCTGCTGCTGCTGATCCAACGACGTGTGCGTGACTACGGCGCTTTCGCTCGTTAACAATTGAAATAGTAGCAACAGTTGTTGTTGTTGTTGTTGTTGTAGTTTCTGCTCAAGTTCACTACCAGCTATGCGACGGCGGCAGCGGATCACGACACGACACGACTTTGACTTGCGTTGAAATGAAGAAAGTTTTTCCTATGCCTTTTTGCCTATGCTGCACAAACCACACGCCACACACCACACACCACAAGGCGCCTCTTAAACTGGTGCAAGATTACCGCAGAATCTGCTACTGTTTTGCTGCTGCGGCTGCTGTTGCTTATGATGATGTTGCTTTGTCGCTCGATGACTCTCTTTCAACGATCGAATTAACGGTAGTCTTCTTGTGTCTCTCTCTTGTGGTCACCTCACAACAGTGCTCTGGCCTGGGTCTGGCCCTTTTATGAGTTCATTCGTTGCCTTTTTACCTCCCCCTTTTGGATGCTCTTCCCTCTGCTGGGCTTCTGGCTGTCTTAGATGAGGATTGCTGATGCTACTGCTGCTGGGGCTACTCCTCTAAGCTAAAGCACTTGACCTCTCTCTCTCTCTTCTCACTCTCTTTCGTCAAACAATCGCACAATGGAGCATAATTTCTTTTTTATCGCCTGTGCCTGGCCTTTTCTCTTACTTTTTGCACGGTTTGGCCTTTAATTTGATTTCAATTACGCTTTCAGAGTGCTTTTAAACACCGTTCCGCCGTTCCGTCGATCGTTCGTTGGTTCGTTCTGGATCGTATCGCTTTTTATTATGCACACAAAAAATTCTTTTCACAGCTTCCTCCCCCTGTGGCGGCGACTCCTCTATGGCGGGGAGTAGTTCGTTACTCTTTTGCCGTTTGAATTTGATTTTGATGCGCGCTCGCTGAGATTCGCATATGAAGTGATCACTGCGCTGCGCTGCTGCCGATGTTGGTGCTGCTGCTGACGCTGCTCTGCTTTTGCGCTATCTGTGCTCTTCTCTCCAATGTATGTTAGGCCTCTGCAGAAGCTTACTGCGACGATGACGACGACGCTGGCTATTGCATTATTGTACATGTATTGTTTTTGTTGTTGATGTTGTCCCCGCGCTGACGTTTTCAATGAATGAATGGAACACACTCTCTGGCACGACACTCACACACACACGCGCACATCCGATTTTTTTACATTCATAAAAATTATACGTTCTTATTGTTGCTTCTTTTCTTTTGTTGCACAGAATTGGCTTCCAGCGCACAGCAGAGAGTAATAAAGTAGAGTCGCAGTAGTCCAGGCAGGCTCCAGAGAAACGAAGAGAAAGGTTTGACAATGCGCCGACGAATGGCACCGAATTTGCAATGCCAACAAATTTATATGAGTGAAAGGCAGCGCAGTCGACGCTGGCTTACAGAGGAGTGTGCTGCAGAGCTTACACAGCGATGTAGCTGGAGCCCATATGCTGGAGAAGCTATCGCATCGCCTTGTTTCATGGCAGCATGGCATATTGATTAAATGGAGTTGTCGGTATTTAAAATAACAACTTGGCCATGTTGTTTGTCTGCCCGCTGCTGCCTAATCGGTTTTGCGTACAAATTTAATTTGCCAAAAGTGGCAGCAAATGCAACCAAAAAGGCGAACAGCATTTGAAATTATAACACACACCACACACACACTCCATGCGCTCCATGGTCCCGCGCTCCATGCTTCCATGCTCCATGCTGTGCGACGCGGTGCTCCTCCTCCTCAAAAGACACGATCCACACGATTCCATGTTGCAGTTGCAGTAGAAAGTGCAGCCACCGCCACCGCCACCGCACTGGTGCAGGCAGCTCTCGTTGCTAGCTGGAAGCTGTGTTTATAGACTTGGGCTTTAAAGCCATAAATTTTACGCCTGAGTGGCGTTGCGAATAAGGGTCACACACACACACGTACAGATCAATGGCGGTGGCGGCGGGAGAGTCGCGTGTGCATTAAAGAAAATTGAGTATAGGTGGAGGTGGAGGCGGCTGCACAGCAGCAACAAAAGCAGCAGCAGGCAGCAGCGGTAAAAAAGAGGTCAGTAAGTGAATGGTTTACAGTTAGTTTTTGGGCAGCCAGACGACGGCGGCAGCGACCGTCACGTCAGTGGGGGCCTTGGAGCCCAACTGCATATGACAGCCATGACTTTGCTTTTAAGCGCCATCATCGCGTCCAGAACTAATGCTGGAGACACGAACAGCGGCACAGCCTCACACATACGAACACACAGGAAAAAGCCGAAAAATTAATTAAAAGAAAGCCAGGCAGACGTAAAAACCTTTTGGCAGCCGTGCAATTTCTTTTTGGCCAAATATTTGACGTTTGCCTGCGGTTTCTGCTGCGGCTGCTGCTGCTGCTACTGCGGCCTGCGGGGCTGCCAATAAAATGGAAAGTGAAAATTGTAGCTGCACTGGTGGCAGTGCATATTAAAAAGATTGTGTGCGAAGAAATGGCAATAATAAAAGATAGAAGCAGGCGTCGGCATCCCAATCCCAGCCCATACCCCATCCACGCACCTGTTCTGCGGGTTTTCTACGAGGCGGCACTAATCACAGCCTCTGAGACTGTGACGCCGCCATCAAGAAAAAGACAAGATTCGAGTTTGTCGTACACGTATTATATAAATGCTGTGCCAGCGATCTCCAATTATATGGGTAGGAGGAATGAAAGGAAGTTTCTGAAATCACACAAAGAATCTATGGTCAGTCATAAAAATAAAATAGTTTTCTGAATTTTCTTTAATTCTTCCAACTGAAAGAAATTAAAATGAAGTTTCTATGACTTCGCCATCTGTTGGTATACACATGCATTTTACATCCATATGCATTCTACATGCTTTTTCTATAACGGAATTATACAAATGGCACCCTGTGCTGTGTGCCGCTTTGCAGCACGCACATAGGGTCCAGGGCGACCGTTTACTCTATTTTAACGTCGAAATAGAAGCAATGAATTCAGCAATCGGATTAAATTATTTATTTACAAACAATTGCAAGTTTTTGAACTATTTTAGCGTTGGCAACATAATTTGTATGGACTAGCAACATGCTGCGAAAAGTGCGCAGCATTGTTCGTCAACACTTGGCACGTAATAAGCAACATTTTGTACCCTTGGAGGGATATATATCCTCGAATTGAGGAAATTTTGGGAAATCTATAGTACCATCAATGCAAACAAAAATTCCATCGGTGTTAGTAAGCCACTCAACATATTATGCAGATACCGAGAATAAATCTAGATCGATATACATATGTGTATATACATAGAAGGCATATGAAAAGGTTAAAAACATGTCAGTCTAAGTCATTATTAATGTTTGAGTGAAGCTTTGAAAGTGACATTATAATATTAGTTTATGGAAATAGGGTATACAAACACCCTTACTATACTCTCAACATCAAAATCGAGGAATATGATTTAGTATTTTCGGTATATTTACAGTTTTACAGTATATGTGAGGTATATTTTAATGTATCCGCGGCCACACTGATTCCAACTTCCATCCAATTCGCCCTAGCGATTAAATACCAAAAAAAAAAAAAAAAATTAACTATAACTGAACCCGAGCAAATGAAATGTGCAAATAAATGCACACGCCTAGTGCATAAATAATAGTGCGAGAGTTCCCGTTTAGTGCGTGCGTAGTTCTGGCCAGCTGTGAATTCATGTCGTGAACGTCAAGAGTGAAACCTACAACTCCCAAAAGCAGCAACAACAACAGCAGCGCAGAACAGCAGCAGCAGCATAGAAAAGATGGCGACGAGAGGCACAGCTCGCGTGCAATCACAACCAAAAATTTTTCCTTCACTCTTTTCGAAACTGCACGGTGCCATCTCGGAGGCATGCGTCTCGCAGCGCCTATCCACGGACAAGAAGACGCTGGAGAAGACGTGGAAGCTGATGGACAAGGTGGTCAAGCTCTGCCAGCAGCCGAAAATGAACCTCAAGAACAGTCCACCCTTCATACTGGACATACTGCCGGACACGTATCAGCGACTGCGTCTCATCTACTCCAAGAACGAGGACCAGATGCACCTCCTGCACGCCAACGAGCACTTCAACGTCTTCATCAACAATCTGATGCGCAAATGCAAGCAGGCCATCAAGCTCTTCAAGGAGGGCAAGGAGAAAATGTTCGATGAGAACTCCCACTATCGCCGTAACCTGACCAAACTTAGTTTGGTCTTCTCCCACATGCTCAGCGAGCTCAAGGCGATATTCCCCAATGGCGTATTTGCCGGCGATCAGTTTCGAATCACCAAGGCCGATGCGGCCGACTTCTGGAAGAGTAATTTTGGTAACAGGTGAGTCCTCGTTGTTGTGGCATCGCGTCAACATGCTCACTCGCGTTTCTCTCTCGCCCCGCAGCACACTGGTGCCTTGGAAGATCTTTCGACAGGAGCTAAACAAAGTGCATCCGATATCGTCGGGGCTGGAGGCTATGGCCCTGAAGACCACCATTGATCTGACGTGCAACGATTTCATTTCGAATTTTGAATTCGATGTGTTCACGCGTCTGTTCCAGCCGTGGGTCACCTTGCTGCGCAACTGGCAAATCCTGGCCGTCACACATCCGGGCTATGTGGCGTTTCTCACATACGACGAGGTGAAGGCGCGTCTGCAGCGCTACATTCTCAAGGCTGGCAGCTATGTCTTTCGTTTGTCCTGCACACGACTCGGCCAGTGGGCCATTGGCTATGTGACGGCAGAGGGGGAGATTCTGCAAACGATTCCACAGAACAAATCGCTATGCCAGGCGCTGCTCGATGGTCATCGGTGAGTGCAGAGCTTTGGAGTCTTCAATTAAACGATATTAAATGTATTTCTGCTTGCAGCGAGGGCTTCTACTTGTATCCAGATGGCCAAGCCTACAATCCGGATCTGTCCTGTGCGGTGCAAAGTCCTACCGAGGATCACATAACAGTCACACAAGAGCAATACGAACTATACTGTGAAATGGGTAAGTGCAGCCACAGCCCATTCTCGTGCTCCGCTCTAAACCTTTTCTTTCTTGGTGTTTGCAGGCAGCACCTTTCAATTATGCAAAATATGTGCGGAGAA